TGACCCCTCCACCACCCTCATCAGCATAGACCTTGAGGCCTTCAGTGGTCTCATCAGCCCTATTTTTAAATTAATTTGTTTTCTTTCTAAAAGTTAATGTGTCCCTTTTTTTTTTTTTTTTTTTTCTGAGACAGGGTCTCACTCCTGTCACCCAGGCTGGAGTGCAGTGGCGTGATCACAGCTCACTGTGGCCTCGACTTCCCAGGCTCAAGTGATTCTCCCACCTCAGCCTCCCAAGTAGCTGGGACTACAGTTTCCCAAGCAGCTGGTACATGCCGCCACATCCAGCCAATTTTTTGTATATATGTACACATTTTTTTTTCTTTTTTTTGTAGAGATGGGGGTCTCACTATGTGGCCCATTCTGGTCTCAAACTGCAGGGTTCAAGCGATCCACCCGCCTCAGCTTCCCAAAGTGCTGGGATTACAGGCATGAGCCATTGCACCCGGCCTTCAGTATCTGCACATAAAAAAGGATCTGTATACATATAATCTTATCCTTCCCCTTTCTGACACCATCACTGCATATTGAATACACCAGCGTGCACTCTAATTTTCTTTTCTTTTTTTTTTTTTTTTTGAGACGGAGTCTTGCTCTGTCGCCCAGGCTGGAGTGCAGTGGCTGGATCTCAGCTCATCGCAAGCTCCGCCTCCCGGGTTTAGACCATTCTCCTGCCTCAGCCTCCCGAGTAGCTGGGACTACAGGCGCCTGCCACCTCGCCTGGCTAATTTTTTGTGTTTTTTTGGTAAAGGCGGGGTTTTACCGTGTTAGCCAGGATGGTCTCGATCTCCTGACCTCGTGATCCGCCCGTCTCAGCCTCCGAAAGTGCTGGGATTACAGGCTTGAGCCACCACGCCCGGCCAAATATGTCCCTAATTTTCATTACCAGTTCGCTTGGAAGCGTTTCGGGCAGCGTTGCAGAAGCCAACCCTAGTCAGCATGACCCTCCGCTTTGGGATGAAATTGATTCTTGGTAGAGCTGACATAGGGTTGAGCGTGGCAGCCTTTCCCCTTGTCCTCTGTGTCCTCTGGGTCACGCTCATTCCCCTCCACTGCCCAGCCCAACAACTTGGAGGCAGGAGAGAAGGCAGCCCCCAGAGCTGCCCTAGACTCCCGTCTCATCTCTCCCCACAGGCAGTTTCTAAACCGGGATGACATTGGCATCATCCTCATCAACCAGTACATCGCAGAGATGGTGCGGCATGCCCTGGACGCCCACCAGCAGTCCATCCCCGCTGTCCTGGAGATCCCCTCCAAGGAGCACCCATATGACGCCGCCAAGGACTCCATTCTGCGCAGGGCCAGGGGCATGTTCACTGCTGAAGACCTGCGCTAGGGGACTCCTCACAGCCCTCAGCCCTTCCCTCGTTTCCAGGCCTCTCCCCAGGCTTGCCATCAGCCTTCTTTACTTTTTGAGCCTCTGATTTCCAATTCCCTGCCCATTCCCACTCCATTAAGAGGTTAGATGAGGCATTTCTAGGTTGCTGGGGCTCTGCTGTTAAAGCTGGTTAAGGAACAGGAAGCCTGACCATCTCCCTCCACTACCTGTTCCCTGTGCTGTTACACAGTGTCATTGTTGATGTTAAATTAAAGTCATATTCTTGCTTCTCTCCAAACGGGCTGGGTGCTGGAAAGTGCATGTGTGGGGTGAGGCCATGGGGCAGATTCAATTGGCAAGGATGGAAAAGGTGCTGCCAAAGACAGGCATAGAAGAGCTGGCCCAGGAGGATCGTGCCGGGAGGCAGAAGTCAAGGACTGGTCCTTGGATCAGAGAAGACCAGCTCTGGTCTGGGAAGGATTGGGAGGAAGCTTGAGCCCAGCCCCCACCTCCCCCACCTTGCTCAGCATTGGGCTGGGAAGGGGGCCAGACCCAAAGGACAGACGCAGAAAGCACACAAAACCTGGAAGCCTCTGATGCCAGATCCCACGTGGGCCCTGCGGGAGGTTTGGGGAGCAGGGCTCTTAGCCAGTGGGCCCTGGCCCCAGGCTGCCTCAGGAAGGGTTCATGGGGTCTGCTGGGAACACAGCAAGTAGAACCCTGGCCCTGTGTGAGGTGAGGCATGGTTGCTAGGTGACTGCCAGGGCAGCCACTCGCCATCAGAAGCACTCTGCTTGCTGTGCTCACCCCTCAGCTGCAGCCACCCTGGTGCCACTCCTTCCCTGGCCACCATGTCACGGCAGCTCAACATAGACACGTTACGGCAGAACTTCTGGAAGGAGGAATATCTGAGGGAAAAGATGTTGCGCTGTGAATGGTACCGCAAGTATGGGTCGATGGTGAAGGCCAAGCAGAAGGCTAAGGCTGCAGCCCGCCTGCCCCTCAAACTGCCCACCTTGCACCCCAAAGCCCCACTCTCACCCCCACCCGCCCCCAAGTCAACCCCTTCCAAGGCGCCCAGCCCTGTCCCAGAGGCTCCTTTTCAGTCAGAAATGTACCCAGTACCACCTGTCACCCGAGCCCTGCTGTATGAAGGCATCTCCCACGACTTCCAGGGGCGCTACCGCTACCTCAACACTCGAAAACTGGACATGCCAGAGACGCGATACCTCTTCCCCGTCACCACCAGCTTCACATACGGCTGGCAGCTGGGTGAGCCCAACCTCTTGGAAATCACCTCAAAGACAGAGCACCTGCCATGTCCTAGGGAGTGGGCATCCTAGTGAAGGGTCCAGACCATAAACAGAGCAAGGAGATGACCAAGAAGTGTCAACATGTGCCACAGAACTAGGGAGTGGTGGTGGGCAGGGAGGCAGCGGCCATGTGCTGCTATTTATTGGATTTTCAGGAAAGGCCTTTCTGAGGACCTGAGGCCAACAGCCAGATGATAAGGATGGGTTTGGATTTTATTTGGTGTGCAGGGAAGCTGATGGAGGGTTCTAAGCAGGTTTCAAGAGTGACACTGATGAACCTTTTAAAAAGTCACCCTGGGCTGGGCGCGGTGGCTCACGCCTGTAATCCCAACACTTTGGGAGGCTGAGGCATGCGGATCACGAGGTCAGGAGATCGAGACCATCCTGGCTAACATGGTGAAACCCCATCTCTACTAAAAATGCAAAAAATTTGCTGGGCGTGGTGGCGGGTGCCTGTAATCCCAGCTACTCAGGAGGCTGAGGCAGGGGAATGGTGTGAACCCGGGAGGCGGAGCTTGCAGTGAACCGAGATCTTGCCACTGCACTCCAGCCTGGGCTACAGAGCAAGACTTCATCTCAAAAAAAAAGTCACTCTGACCTGTATGTAGGCAGTGGCTTTTTCAGGGGAAATGGTAGAATCTGGCACGTGAGTTGGGCATCTATTTTGTTACCCTGTGGTAGTGGCCTGAGGAATCAGTAATAGAGCTGAAATCAATTCAGGATGTTTTGGGGGAAGACTCAGTGGAACTCACCCATGGATAGAATGTGAGAATAAGGGGAAGAGAGAACAATCGCCCAGGTGTTTAGCTAAAGCCGCAGTGACAGGGAAGACTGGGAGAGGTCAGGGCTGGAGTGTGCATGAACAGGTCCTATTTAGTCATGTGTGTTTGCCTATGTTATGCTTGAAGTGTCTGTAGGGTGACTGTGTCTATAAGTCTGGATTGAAGTCAGAGCTGAAGATGCAAATTCGGAGGTCATTTGAATATAGGTGCTTTTTTTTTTTTTTTTTTTCTTTTTGAAGCAGAGTCTCACTCTGTCACCCAGGCTGGAGTGCAGTGGCATGATCTCGGCTCACTGCAACCTCTGCCTCCCAGGTTCAAGAGATTCTTCTGCCTCAGCCTCCCAAGTAGCTGGGACTACACAGGCACGTGTCACCATGCCTGGCTAATTTTTGTATTTTTAGTAGAGACAGGGTTTCACCATATTGGCCAGGCTGTTCTCCAACTGCTGACCTCGTAATCTGCCCACCTCGGCCTGCCAAAGTGCTGGGATTACAGGTGTGAGCCACTGCCCGGCCTATAGGTGCTATTTAAATCCGTGAGATCACCTAGGGAGCTCAAGTTGCTGGAATCTGATGGGAGTGGGGGCAGGAGGGCTGAGCCAGAGGCTGGTAGGGGATGGCGTAGGCAGGAAGGCTGTCCATCTGGGCTGAGTCTTTTTTCTGTGAGGTTGAGTCAAGGCCATCAGTGGGGAGGGAGCCGAGCTCAGGCAGTGGAGTAGCAGAGATGAAGAGGAAAGGTGTGGAACAGGCATGTGCCAGAGAGGGCTGCTGGGCGATGTTGCTGCACGTCCCATTGCTGTCTGTGCTCATGAATGTCAAGTGAGACTCCTCGGCCCTGTGTCCTTCTCCAGCTGCTTGAGTGTCTTGCAGAAAAGGTGGATGGTTGGGGATTGACTCAGTTGAGATTTTGCCCCCAAACATCCCTTTCCCCCAGGCCCCTAAAGGGAAAGTCAGGGAAATAACTTTCTAACAAAAGCAGGAGGCAAGCCCTAGAAGGGGGGAGCAGGAGACAGAAGGAAGTCCCATCTCTTCACAGTCTGTCCCTGTGACAAGCAGGCTAGGGTGGCCCCCCTCCTGGCAGGTAGAGGATCCTGAAGCTGGGGTAATGATGGCAGATGGCTGCTGTATGTATCCTGGCCTCCAACCAGCTCCCAGTATTTGCAGGTAGCTCCCATGCCTCCAAAGCATTTTCTGTTTCTTCCCACAAAGTGGCTACTCCACTGACGGATTCCTAGGGCTGTGCAGACAGACAGGGCTCCCATGCTCTGTGTGTCCTTCCCTCAGGAACCCATGCTTGGCCTCTAATATCTTTTCCCAGGCCCCCCAGTGAAGCAAGAACTGGTCTCCTGCAAGATGTGCCGCATTGAGTCATTCTTCCGCAAGAACGGGGCCTTCGCACTGCTTGATCCCCGAGACCTGGCCCTCTGACGGTGGGCCAGGTGTGGGCTTAGGGGAGGGAAGAAGAAATAACAGGCCTCCTGGTGGGGCAAAGCTGTTGTGTGTGTCTGTGCTCCTCTGCCCTCCCTGGCCCTGAGGCTGCATTCAGGCCTTTCTGAAACTATCTGACCTGCAAAAGTTGCCCTCTTGCTTTTTCCGTAACCCTCATCTCTTTAATCATCCCTTTGAGTACCCAGCAATGACCAGAGGGGGCTGGGAGGGCGAGCACTACTCTGCAGGCACGGGATCCGCAGCACCAGGGGAACACAGTAGTTCCAGGAAGTTCTGAGTGTTCCTGCGGAGAGAGCGGCCTGTCATCTCGGAGGCCAGGGAAAGGGGACTCCTGCCACCGCCACGAGCCTCCTTGCCCGCCCCTCACCTGGCCCCGAGGGCCCGCAGCCGCCCGGTCCTCTCCCGATGCATCTGTTCCAGCTGCTCCCGCAGGGCGCGCTGCCGCCCAGTCGCGTCCTCCTGGCGGTGCAGATCGCTGAGCGTCCGCGGCTCAGTGGGGCGGGCGGGGCAGCACCTGGCACACCCGCCCCTCGCGCCCCGCCCGAGTCACTGCCAGAGTGCAGTGCGCTCACTTCAAAGGGACCCGGGCGCACTAAACTCGGCCCCTACCCGTGCAGGTTCCTTGCGGCCCCACCGCCTTCTGGGGGTCTTGCCTGTGGCGGGAGTTGAGCCGCGCTGGGCGGGAGCCCCACGGGGTGAACCCGGCAGTGGCGGTTCCTGGCGATGTGGAGGCGTTCCAGGACCTGCAGAGGGGCAGTCAGCGTCCGGCCGCCCCTTGGTGCCCCGCCCGCCCCAGGCAGGCCCCAATCCCGGCGTGGGGACGCACCCGGAGCCGCTGCTGCTCACGGTCCCGCCGGCGCCGCCACCTGGCTGCGCTGTGCAGCTCCAGCAGCCGCTGCAGAGCCGTCTCCTGCCGCGCCGCGCTCAAGCCCGCAGGCGCCTTGGCCCTGCCTAGGGGCGCCGGCCACGCGGCCTTCGAGGCCTTGGGACGCTCAGGACCGACCCCCCGACCCCGGAGGGCACCCGGAAGCCGAGCCTGGCCCACCTCCTCCTCTCCCGGGCCAGGGCCCACTCCAGGGCCCTGCAGCGCGTGCGGATTGCGCTCCGGGTCTGGAGGCCCCCGAAGACCCCCGGGGAGCCCCTGCTGCCCGGATACCTTGGTGCGCAGGGTCGCTGGCATCACAGCTCCGGCTCCGCGACCTGGAAGCAGCTGCCGGGCCGGGGGCTTCGGGCTGGGAAGCGCAGCCCACGCCCCCTCCTGGGCGACCCCTAGCTTTGCCACCGCCGGTGCCGACTTTTGTGTCTCGCCTCTGATCCTGCCCTGCATCATCGCGGTAACCCTTCTCCGGAGGTCTGGGCTCTCCCTGCCCACAGGCTTTGGAGTCTGTGCTTTCAGGGACCCGCAGGAGTCCCTCTGATGGCTCCGGGAGCCGCCTTCCTCTGGGAGCCGTACAGTGGCCTCCCCAGGAGCCACCTCCCAGGCTTGTGAGATATTGCCTTCCCAAGACCGCAGCATCTTCTTCCCCAGACTCTGGGGACTCGCCTTTCCCTGGCACTTAGGACTAAATTCTCCTCGACTCTGAGGAACGCCCATGTTCTCACCCAGGGGGGCCTCCTCCCTCTGACCCTGAGGAGCCCTTGGGCTCTGGCCCCTCTGTGTCTTCACCCTCTGACGCTGAGGAGCATCTTTGATCTCGCCCCGGGAGGCCTCCCCTCTCTTATGCTGAGGGGTCTCTGCTTTCTGATCCTGAGGGTCCTCCTCTCTCAGACTCTGAGGGGTGTCCATCCTTGGCGGTCTTTGAAGTTCTACTCTCTCCTGGCCCAGGTGCGGGTCCCAGCCCAGTCCTTCAAGGGCATCTTGGGAAGGCAGGTTTTGGGAGGGCAGGTCCCCCGGCCCAGGGGTCCCGGGAGTGAGCTTTCTTTCCTGGGTCTCAGGTTCTGCCCCACTCCTCTGGGCCAGGTCCTGGAAAGGAAGAGCACTTTGGGCCCAGGCTTGAGAGGGAACCTGCAGACCCGACCCCAGGGGCCAGCCCTTGCCTGATTCCTGAATTTGTTAAAGCCATTTAATGTAGTGTGGAAGGTGCTTCACTGAAAAGCCTCCCCCTCACCCCAGCAGCCTCCTCCCATGCAGACCCACCCTTGCCATCCCCAACCTGAGACGCTTGACCTTTTCACCTTGTACTCTGAGCTGCCTGGCACCCCAAAGCTCCTCCTGGTAGTGGGGTTCAGCTCTTGTAAGGAGCCTGAGGAAGAAAGACCGGTGTTGGGAGCTCATGTCCCCTCATGCACAGTCCACCTAGACTAGAGCCAGGAAGTTTAGGGAGTCCCAGCACCTGGCTAGGGGTGCCCTGAGGGCGCTGTCTGAACCTCAGGCTGTCACAGTTCATCAGCCAGCCACGCACTTATTTGTCATGTGTGCCTGCCAACAGCCCACCCCATCTTTCTCATCCTCCCAGCCAAGGCAGACCACTCCAGAGGGACCTGCACAGCCTCCTCCTCAAGACCACCACGGGAGGCCTGGGAGTGAGAAGGGTCACGGTGCTGGGCGCCTGGGTCCCTCAGCACCAGCTACTCCCACTTTGTCCTGGTGTGCCCATCAGGCCCAGAGAAGAAACCCGCTCTGGGCATCTTACTTTTTACTCTTACTTAGAAGAAACCTCCCTTAGCCTTTTCTTTGTTTCTGACAGCAAAATCAAAGGAAATTCAAGATGAAATTTTAGGCCAGAGGCTGGCCTAAAAACTGCAAGTGTTCATAATTAACAAAAGAAATCTAAAAACAGAGATGATGTGTTGCCGCTCCCCTGCAGCTGTGGAAGGAGGAGCGCTGTTCTGCATCCATAAAACTGGTTAAAAGGGATTTCATAAGGTCTGAAATGGAGATCTTTCCCAAGAATACTGCAGCTTGTTCTCTTGTGCAATATCAGACGTGTGAATATTCATAACAGTAACCAAATGGGTGCACTCTCTGTGAAAACACATCTTTCAAAGAGTTGTTTGAACAAAGGAGTCTTATAAGACTCCTGGGCCTTTAGAAATAATTGCCACAAACTGCAAAAACAACCTCCAACCTCCCACCTCTAATTCTCATCGGTTGTCTTACTAGAAAATTTATTTCTCTGGTAATGTTATAATTGATATCCCTGTCTTCTCAAGATATATATCCCTGTCTTCTCAAAATACTTGTAAAAACTTCTCTGTCAATCAGAAAATAATTATTGGCAGTTTTCTTCTCTCTCATGTGCGTGGTGGAACAATAAAAAGCTTGTGGCTTTGCTACATCTATTGTTTAACAATTTGAGAGTCTGTTTCATTTAAATTAATAGGCTCAAGGCTCATAGTATCCATTCCACTGCCTGTTTATTGTCATGCTGTTTCTAGCCTGTGATCTAAAGACAGGCACCCAGTCTCCTTGATCTCTGTATATCTCCAGTGCCCAGCTGAAGGGTGGCAAAGAGGTGGCCTGTACCTGGCTGAAGGGTGGCAAAGAGGTGGCCTGTGCCTGGCTGAAGGGTGGCAAGTAGGCGGCCTGGAGTTGGTGTTGTGTTCCCTCGTCCCTGGGCAGCCAGTGATGCTCATTCCTGAACTTTCTCCCCTGAACCCCAGTTTAGCATCAGAATCCTACTGGACGCACTGCCTGACACAGCTGGTACCAACCAGGTGGAATTGGCACATCAAATAAAACCTACTTGCCATCGCTGGGTGTCCTGGCACTCCATCAGGAAGTGTGAGATGAAGAATGAGTGAAGAATGAAGTCCTGGGACTTGGGGAGAGGACTTTCCTGCCTATCCCAATCCAGTCTGGCTGCCCCTGCCCTCCCAGTTGTCTGACAACGTACTGCGTGTGGGCTCTGCAAGTCCTCCAGGGCTCTCCCACCCTTGGCCTGCACCACTCCCGGCTTCACCCAGATCTGGGGCCGATGATGGGTCTCCCGCCTGCCCCCTGCAGGAGTTCAAGGGCTGCCTCTGATGCACCTCTCTGGGCCCATGGGCTCTGGAATGGGAGGGAGTCTGCCTGCCAGTCTCCAGAGACCCCCACCCCAGCATGCAAACACTTGAGGCCCCCAGTGCCCTCCCTCCTCTCCCATCACCAGATCCTGGGAGCTGGAATTTGGAGATTAACCTTCCCAGGGGCCGTGGGGCAACCATGGGTGCAACTAAGAGCCCAGGAGGCATAACGAAGGGCACTGGCAGGACTGCAGAAGGTGACAGAGAAAGAGCCCAGTTCACAGAGGGAAAGGCAGGATTCCCCAGGGAGACTCACCCTTCCAGGAGCTGATGGTTCTGGCTCAGGGAGTCCCTGTCCTGGGGTAGAAGGTGCAGCCTAGAATTCTGGAAGGGTTGGGGGCAACCTAGTCCACATGGCTCCATCCCCCAGTGTGGCAGCCAGGCTTTAAGATGGCCCCTAAATGATCCCTGCCTCCTGGAATTCATACCCTCTGTGCCCGCCACTTCCCCTCCACGCAAAGGAGCTTGGAAACGGATCCCTCCTCCCAGTTGAGTCTCAGATGAGACCACAGTTCTTGCCAGCAATGTCGGCTGAACCCTTCCTAAGTTGCACCACGAACACCCGCTCCTGCTACAGCTGAGGGTGCCTTGGCCCAGAGAGGGCTACTAACCTGCCCAAAGTGACTCAGACAGCTGCTGGCTGAGCCAGGACTGGGACCCACATTCCCAGTTCCCCACTCTGTTCTGGGCCCAGTCACCACAGCACCCCCTCCTGGAGTCTCAGCCCAGCTGCAGCCCTGGAGGGAGAGGCCAGCGGCTGGGGCTGTCGGGGCCTGTGTCTCAGCGGCACACTTCATTGCCTTTGCTCTCTGGGGCCCTGCCAGGCTGCTTTCCTCCCACGTGGCGGTCACATGGAAAGGCTTCCAGGTATCACCACACAGGTGATTTGACCAAGACAGTCCTTAGCTGTGGAATGAGAATAACCGCCTGCCTGGAAGAGCAGGGCCTGTGTGCCAGGCGTAGTCCACTGTTCCTCCTGACAGCCCTTGGAGAAAGATCTCTTCTTGTGCGTGTTTTCTTTCTTTCTTTCTTTCTTTCTTTTTTTTTTTTTTTTTTTTTGGTGGGGGAGTTGGGGGTAAACGGAGTTTGGCTCTTGTTGCCCAGACTGGAGTGCAATGGTGCAATCTCAGCTCACTGCAACCTTCACCTCCCAGGTTCAAGCGATTCTCCTGCCTCAGCCTCCCAAGTAGCTGGGATTACAGGTACAGGCATGTGCCATCATGCCCGGCTAATTTTTGTATTTTCAGTAAAGACGGGGTTTCTCCATGTTGGTCAGACCGGTCTCAAACTCCCAACCTCAGGTGATCCGCCCCCCTCAGCCTCCCAAAGTGTTGGGATTACAGACGTGAGCCACCGTGCCCGGCCTCTTGGGCATTTTCTAGCTGAGGAAAGGTAGACTCAGAGCCCACAGGGGGTTCAGCATGGAGATTCGAACCCAGCCCTGTCTCCAAAACCGTGCCCCTTCTACTTGCCCTCACCACAGCAGGGCCCCAGTCTCCCCAGAACCTCTGTCCCTGCCGTGCCCCCTCACCCACTCACCAGCTGCTCGGGGTCCCCACCCATGCATGCTGGACCTGGCCCCTCGGACCGAAAAACTGGGCCTGGGGTGGCCAGAAGAGGCCCAGCTCCACACCAGTCAGCAGCTCCAAGTCCCACAGGAGCTGCAGGAAGATGGGGTGCCAAGGCGTGAGGGGGCACCCACCCTGGCCTCAGCCACACCCCCGGCCAGCCCCTACCTGCTCCTGGGCCCGCCGACTCCGCTCCATCTGCAGCAGCACAAGGGGCAGCTCCAGCCCCCGGGGACACCCGCAGCCTTTTTGCACCTGGAGGGGCAAGGTGACGTCAGGCCCCCGGCTGTCTCCTTCCTTCTAAGGCAGTGCCCCTCCCTCACCTGCCAAAGTGCAGCCCGGAGCTGGCCTGGACCTGCGGGGCACTGGAAGAGATACTGGTACAAAGCCAAGGCCTGCCTGGGGCTACAGGGGAGCCCTGAGCCCCCCGGAGTGGCTGCCTGCGCCATGCAAAGCCTGGAGGGAAACGGAGGACAGGCAACCAAGAGCCAGGAGCAAGGAGGGACAAAGGCTCTGATCTCAATAATGCAGGGCTTGACATCTGAGCCCCGGCTGGACCGCAGCCAAGCCTCATAGACTCTGGCCTGCCTCAGGAGACGGTTTTTGTGGCCCTAGGGGTGGCAGCATGGCGTGAGCAGTGTGACCCTGAGAGAGGGAGGTGTACGCATATGCTTGTTTACAGCCCCCAGCGAGCATTTGTTTGACATATACTGTATACGCGTACATCTGAACATCAGCTTCACAGCTGCATTATTTGGGCGCACAATATGCCCAATATGGGTAGCAATAGCAGCTGCTACCAAAGTTTAGCTTGTGCCAGGATGAAGATGCTTCATACATATAATCCTTTCTTGCAGCAACTCTATGAAGTAAGCTCTATTATTATCCCTAATTTATAGGTAAGAAGACTGACTCAGAAAGCAACTTCTTCTAGGCCAAGTGTGGTGGTTCACATCTGCAGTTCCACCACTTTAGGAGGATGAAGTGGGAGGATGGCTTGAGCCCAGGAATTTGAGACCAGCCTGGATGACATAGCAAGACCTCATCTCAAAAAAAAAAAAAAAAAAAAAGTTAGCCAGGCATGGTAGCACGCGCCTGTAGTTACAGCTACTTGGGAGGCTGAGATGGGAGGATTGATTGAGCCTGGGAGGTCAAGGCTGCAGTGAGCTGTGATCATGCCACTGTATTCCAGCCTGAGTGACAGAGCAAGACCTTGTCTCTTTAGAAAAAAAAAAAAAAAGAATAGCTTGTCTTAACATGCAGCAGCATTTTTTTCATCTGGAGATGGATGGATGTGATACCCTCTGGGAAGACATGGTCCTGGGAGCCCAGGCCATCCATCAGCAAGAGGCGAGTGGTAAGAGGCCCTGCCCGGGCAAGCACTGCCCACATGCTTGTCCATGCTGTCCACCTAGTAAGTGCTGTCCATGGGTCACTGTTCATTCCCTGACACTTACTATTATCATCCTCACCTCACAGATGAATAGACAGGTCATATAAGTTATCTAATCAGAAGAGGGGCTGAGTGCAGGAGCTCTGCCATCTTTACATCCTGCCCAGTTGTGAGCAGATTTGCCTGCTGGCTACTTTGTCCCCATTCCATGAGAGAACGGAGCAGACCCTCCTCTTGGCTGGAAGAGAGAACAGCCTCAATGAAAGAGCAAGCAGGCTGAGTGGCCTCTAATTCAACCCGGCACTCTCCTGCATCCCTGCCTGAGCACAAAGCCCTTCACTCCCTGTTGGAATATCAGGGAGCAATGAGGATGGAGTCCCCTGACCTCATGACCAAGGTCCCTAAAACACCAAGCTCACAGAGTAGGCGGCAAAGAAAACTTGAATTCTGGACTTTTTCTATCTCAAAACCCATGTTCCCTCCCTACAGTGACGTCTTCACACGCTGCCAGTGTCTACTGCCCACACATCTGCCCGGGGTGGGTGTGGTTGTGAAGGCAGGCAGGTATGCATTGCATGTGTTTATCTGGGCTTCTGAGGGATGTATGTTTCTGTGTGTGTTTCTGTGTTTCTGTGTGCACACGCAGGCACATGTCCATATTGCATTGTGGTCTGTTGCTTCTCCTGTTTCTCACCCCAGGCATTGTGTCACTAGCCCTCGGAGTGGCCCAGAAGGTGCTTGCACATTCAGTATCCCCCAGCCACAAGGAAGGGGGAGGCCATTCTCTGATGCAGCCCCTTCTCCATGGTTCCTCAGCCCCTGCAGGATCCCACATGGATCCACAGAAGGTACCACATGGGGCCATGCATCATGCCTGCTACACAGAATGAGCACAGGGCTAAGACCAGGCACCAGGGTCCTCCTCCTACCACTGCAGGGTTTCCCAGACAGCACCAGGGAGTGGCTGGGTGGGGCAGCCCAGGCATGCAGGTGCAAGGAAGGTGCATGGTGCTGTGATTCTGGGACCATTGATCACTAGACCCCATGTTCCTGGCAGCCCAGCCTCTGTCCCAGCACCAGGAGGAAATACACACACACACAAGGAAGCCTTCGGGCAGGCCTAGAGTTTACTACTTGTGACTCAACACAGCAGGGGTCTTTGCAGGGCAGGGGCCCAGGCTCCACTGTCCAGGCAGGGCATTCTCTCCACAGCCCTGACCAGGGTGGGAACTGCTTGCCAAGGGGAGACTCCTGGCCTGATGAACCCTGGTCAGGCACTGTCCTGGCTCAGGGTGTCTCCTGGGGCTCCCGGCTGGGGCTGGGCGGAGCACCGAGTGGCTGGTCTCCAGTGAGCAGGACTTGGGGACAGGCCTCGGGTGGGATGCAGTGGGCCTCGTGCTCCACCAGGCCTGCAGGGCACTGGCAGCCGGGCATGCAGGGCCTCACGCAGTGGGCTGCCAGCTCCCCCAGGGGGATATGCTGATTGAAGCAGGTGCGGGGACAGGGCGGGCCGCACTCATCGAACACGAAGCCATGCTCCAGGGGGCAGCCTACCACTGTAGGGGGTGGGGGGAGTGGGAGGCGGGGTTACCGAGGCACCTGAAACTGCCCCAGTAGCTGTGCGTACCACTGTGAGACTCATTACACCCACCGTGGACCCGCCCTGAGCCCTCCGGGCTAACCTTCTTCTCTGTGCTGACCCTCCCCCAGCCTGCAGTGGGCATCACCCCCTCACCGCATAGCGTGGGGCCTCGCCAGGTAGGTGTCACTCCTGCCTGGCGACAGTGACTGGCATAGGCTTCCAGGGCGTCACAGAGGCAGGCATCAGCGGAGGAGCCAGGGCCACAGGCACACAGGTCATACACACAGGCGGCAAAGAAGGGCTCCGGTGGCACCACAGCATGGCAGCGACTGAATGGGGAGGACTTCAGCACCCCACACCGGGCATTGGCCTCACGCCTGGCACGGTAACCTGCTGCCCGGCACGGATCCATCTCTCGGCCTGCAGAACAGGGCCGGCCAGGCCCCAGCCCCTCTGGGACCTGGGTGGGGAGAGCAGCCCTGATGTGACAGCACCACTGGCAGCTGGCCTCTGCATGCCATGCTCTTCAAAGCACTTCCCACCCAGTCATTTGCTTTAGTCCCCAAAACCTCCCTAAAAGAACGCAAAGGAAGTACTGTCTACCATCTTTTTGTCCCCATTTTACAGATGGACAGACCAAGGCCAGAGTAGGTCAGCACTTGTCCAAGGTCACACAGCCAGTGAGTGGCAAAGCAAGGCTTGGGGGTTCAGGTGACGAGACCTCTTTTTTTTTTTTGAGACAGAGTTTTGCTCCTGTTGCCCAGGCTGGAGTACAGTGGTGCGATCTCGGCTCACTGCAACCTCCGCCTCCTTGGTTCAAGTGATTCTCCTGCCTCAGCCTCCTGAGTAGCTGGGATTACAGGCATATGCACCACCAGGCCCAGTTAATTTTGTATTTTTAGTAGAGATGGGGTTTCTCCACATTGGTCAGGCTGGTCTCAAACTCCCGACCTCAGGTGATCCACCCACCTCAGCCTCCCAAAGTGCTGGGATTACAGGCATGAGCCACCGCGCCTGGCCAACGAGGCCTCTTTTAACAAGCCACCCTACCTCTTCAGCACCAAGACAGTCAAGAAGCCTACACACCTCCCTGAAAGCCCAAAAGCCTATCTTGTGTGACTTCACCCCCTTTCCCCGCTTTCCATGCCAGAGGGTTGCTCTGAGACTCATGCTCAGCTGCGTCTTCCCTAACCCCCATCCCCGGTTCCTGTGCCACTAACCTGCCAGCTATTCCCAAACGCAGCCTCTGTGGGCAGGAGCAGCCCCTCAGGGCCCTGCAGATCATCCTGGGCAAAGCCGTTGAAGTTCCCACAGAGCCCACAAGTCCAGCCCTGGTAGGAGCCAGGCACGCTCACCTCCACCTGGGACTGCCCGTCCCACAGCACCTGTGTGGAGAGGCCTGGGACTGGGGAGCAGGTAAGGACAGGGGCCTGAAGAAGCTCAGGGTCCTTTATGGCCCCAGGCACTGTGTTCAGCGCGGCCAGTGCTGCAGGGGAGGAGAATGGACAGATGGAGGCTCCCCTTGGAAGAAACACAGCCCTAGCCAAGGCCAAGTGGATACATTCTGTGCCAGCCCTGGGCAAAGACAGATGACAGGAGGAGCTGTCCACAGCTCCTGCATGAGGGCACCTTCTCCTGCCGCCATCCCTCAACTGGGCCCCACGTGAAATGCAACCCCCTTCCAGGGATTCACTTTCTCATGGGCATTCCGGCCTTGCAGAGGACAAAGCACAATTAGGGTTCAGATTAGAAGTGTATACCCTTATTCTATGAATTTACAAGTTGTGTTTCTTGCTGGGCGCAGGGGGCAAATTACTCCTTCCACATGAGGGTTGGAAGGAACCTGAGACACCCGCCAGGAGACTTTAGCTGACATCCTCCCCACTGCCACTGACCCTTCCCATTCCCCACTTTACAGATGAGAAATCTGAGGCCCAGGGGAGGCTGTGGGTGACTTAAGAGGCTGAGTCAAGATTAGAAATCAGTCTCAGAACTCAGAACTCCTCTGACTGCCCAGGGAGATCTCTGACCCTGATCCACCTCCCCTCACAGCCCTGCACCCCACTCCTGGCCTCTTTTGGCCAGGAGGTAGCTGGCATCCCCACCCCCCTATAGATACAGAGGCCTAAACAGGACTGAAGCTCCCAGCAGGCAGCCCACCCAGACTCGCCCTGGAGCCGCACCTGGAGCCCGGGCTGGGTATGCAGGATCACAGTGTGTCCTCGCAGCTCCACATACAGCAGCGGCTCCTGCAGGAAGGGCAAGGCCACTGGGCGCCCATCCACCTGGAGGATAAAGGAGGTGGGAGGAGGGGCGATGTCGAGGCACATGGGTGGACAGCATGGGATCCACCTTCCTCTGCTCATCGGCTTTGCTCACAGTGACTGCTCCGCCCTGCAGCAGCCTCACGGCCACGTCTCCCAGCAGCACCGCCACCTCCTGGGTCCAGGCCACGCCGCTCCGGCCCCGGTCATCATTGGTCACGTGCACACTGTGGGCGGGAAAGTCCCAGGTGCCAATGGTCAGCAGGGCTGGGTGTAGGGGTTGGGGAGAAGAGAGACGGGGGATGCACACCTGAAGTCCCCGCTGTGGCAGTCCTTGGCCAGCACATAGCTGCAACTGCCCTGGAAGTGCAGCAGGCGGCCGTCGAAGGTGCGGTAATGGGGGTCTCCGAAGGCCATGCAGGAAGCTGGCTGGGGCAGGCAGCGGGGGCAGCAGCTGCCAGGACTCAGGGCAGGGGCCTTGTCCTGCATTCAGCCCCAGACACTGTCAGACACACCGCCCTCCTGGCCATGCCTCTTGCAGACCCTCCCAGAAAACCAAGCATCTCCCAGGAGTCTCCAGGGATCTCCAGGACTCCAGCGCCCGGGCTCCCTGGGAGCAAGGTCAGGGCACCACTTTGTGGTCGCACTGGGAACAGCACTGTCCCCAGCTCCCAGCTGGCTGCAGGAGCCCAGCCTCCCTCTCGGATGCCTGATCACACCAGGATGGTGGTACCATGTGCCCCCACCCTGACCCTCCCCACCACCTTAGATTGCGGTACTCACGGGGCCACACGAGAGTGGTGAGCAGCGCCGGCTCTGGCAACGCACGGTGCCCGCCATGCAGGAGCAGCTGGTGCAGGCGTCCACAGTCCAGCGCTCTCCAGAGGCCACCTCACGGCCCTGGTGCACGCAGGACTGGGTGGGAGCTGAAGGGATGGGAGCTGGGAGGTCAGCTGCCCCTCCTCCATGCCCAGAAGGTCTGACTTACCCCCTGCCCCATCATCCTGGCTGCACACCTTGGCATCGCTCACAGCAGCCGTCGGCCTGGGGCACCTTTGCCCAGCCATGGGGGCAGAAGAGGGCCTGGCACTCCTCGAGGTGGCACTCCACATGGCCCCGCTGAGGACAGACATCATTGTTCTGGGGTTTTCTGCAGGGCCGGAGTCCCTGGCCTCATGCTTCCGGGGGCATCTGGGCATGGACTTCTGCCTGCCCCTCCCACAATACACTCTTCACAGTTCAAGTGGAGAATGAAATCCAACCTTCGGCTCCATGCCCTGGTGCAGGGATGCTCTTGCCCCTTAAAGACCCCGTATTTGCTGGTGGAGTGTTGGACACTCCTCCCTTTATCCATCTGTGAGATCCTCTACCCTCCCAGACCCACCCCAGCTCACACGACAGATGCAGGTGATGCACGCATCGCTGGGGTCCCTCCAGCTCTCTCCATTTGCCACTCTCCGGCCCTCGGCCTCCACCACACATTCTGAGGAGGAAGACATGGGATGGGCAGGCACTGTCCCTCCAGCTGTATCCTCCCTCCTCGGAGCTTACCCTGCATTTCATGGCAGGAAAGCACCCACTCAATTTCCCTACCACCCTGATGGTGTTGATTTCTTCAACCAATATCCACAGGGCCCATTAGACATCAGGCCTCGCATCCGTGCTGGGGATGTCTCTAGGGTCCTAGGAGCCCAAAGGGCCAGAGGCTGGAACCCCACTCTGGGCCGGCTGCCCACTCAGTAGTGCAATGCCCTCTTCATGGGCCTGGAGATCCCAAGCCCCCTGAGAGGCATCAGGCCAGACCTTGAGAATCTAGGCTTCATCCCAGCTTCCCCCTGCCTCATAGGTCTCTTCCCCACTTCAAGAACAGCCCCCCTCCATTTCTAGAAAAGAATGAACCCTGTATTCTTTTCTAAAAACCGAGTACAAACCCTGGACTGCCCACTTGGCCCATGAATGTCTCCCCTTCCTGTCTTCCCCCTGGGCCCCTCTCTGAGGGTGGAGGCCAGGGCTGGGCACTTACCCTGGCACACGGGGCAGCAGCTCCCAGGGGGAGTGTGGCGCTCCGAGAGGGGACAGCTGAGCTCAGGACAGGTTTGGTGGATGCAGAGCCATGTCAGGTCCTACCCATGTGAACACAAGAGGTAGAGAATGGCGGATCTCAGGGAGCTGGTGGAGGAGTAAGGCGTAGTCATGATGTGACAGTCAGGACAAGTGGGCAAATGTCAGGGTGAGTGGAGAGCCCCGGAGCTGCTGCGGGAGAGGAGGGGCAGCCACAGCCCACAGAGAAGGAAGAAGAGGGGCTCTGTGAGTCCCCAAGGCAGGAGGGCTCACCTGGCACTGGCATGTGTAGCAGGGGTCCGGTGGGGCTAGCTCAGATCCCAGCAGGCCCTCTGAACAGTTACTCAAAGCCTCTGTGAAGACAAGAACCCAGAGTGGGGGACAGAAAAAGGGGCGCAGGGCTGGAAATCCCAGCTGTCCCCACGCACCGTGTCCCCAGATTTCTAACTTGAACTCCTGGGCATACCCGCATCCCAGCACCTTGACTCCGGGGAGGACAAGTTCTCTTTCTCTTTAATTCAGTCACGTTCACACGTTTGCAAAGAAACTTTGCTAGGTTGTTATGTGGGGCCGGGTAGGGGTGCAAGGTGACTGGAAACAGACCAAGCATGGCTTTCTTAGCCTGAGGTCACTAAGAATGGCCAGCTTGTGGCCTGCTCTCCCTCCTGCTATCTGTAATACAGTGTGGCTACAACAGCGCAGGGAAGCACACAGCCAGGCATCCCGAGTTCGAATCCTGATGCCAGCACTCAGTGCCTGTGCTCATTAGGTTAGATTAATCCATCTCTCTGAGCCTCAGTTTCTTAATCTGTAAAAAGAGATTAATACTTCCCTCACTGCGTAACTGTGAAAACAAAGCGAGAGACTTTATTAAGAGCACCAGGTACAGTGTGTGGCATGCAGTAGGTGCTTAATAAATGTTGGTCTTCCTCCCTTCCCCTGAAGAACCCCCAAGCAAGTGTTGACCTCCTTGCTGGATGGCAGGGATGGCTGCACAGCATTATGAACATATTTAATACCACAAACTGTACACTTAAAAAATGGTTAGGATCATACATTTTAGTGTCTTACCACCATAAAAATAAATAAATAAAAAATAAAAAAACAGAAAAGCCAGCGTAATGGCTCACACCTGTAATCCAGCACTTTGGGAGGCCGAGGCAGGAGGATCACCTGAGCTCAGGAGTTCGAGACCAGCCTGGACAACATGGTAAAACCCCATCTCTACTAAAAACACAAAAAATTAGCCAGGCGTGGTGGTGCATGCCTATAATCCCAGCTACTTGGGAGGCTGAGGCAGGAGAATTCCTTGAACCCAGAGGTTGCAGTGAACTGAGATTGTGCCACTGCACTCCAGCCTGGGTGACAAAGCGAAACTGTCTCAAAAAAACCAAAATCCAAATCAAAAAACCAAACTGGGCCGGGCGCGGTGGCTCAAGCCTGTAATCCCAGCACTTTGGGAGGCCGAGACGGGCGGATCACGAGGTCAGGAGATCGAGACCATCCTGGTCTCTACTAAAAAATACAAAAAACTAGCCGGGCGAGGCGGCGGGCGCCTGTAGTCCCAGCTACTCGGGAGGCTGAGGCAGGAGAATGGCGTAAACCCGGGGGGCGGAGCTTGCAGTGAGCTGAGATCCGGCCACTGCACTCCAGCCCGGGCGACAGAGCGAGACTCCGTCTCAAAAAAAAAAAAAAAAAAAAATAAAAAAAAAAAACCAAACTGGAGAAAACAGGAGGATTTTCATTTTAAAAGAGTATGCTTTTTCTTTTTTGAGACAGAATCTCACTCTGCCACCAAGCTGGAGTATAGTGGCGCAATCTCGGCTCACTGCAACCTCTGCCTCCCGGGTTCAAGCTATTCTCCTGCCTCAGCCTCCTGAGTTGCTGGGATTACAGGCGTGCGCCACCACGCCTGGCTAATTTTTGTATCTTTAGTAGAGACAGGGTTTCACCATGTTGGCCAGGATGGTCTCGATCTCTTCACCTTGTGATCCTCCCGCCTCGGCCTCCCGAAGTGCTGGGATTACAGACGTGAGCTACTGGCCCTGGTCTGTTTTTTCTATGTAAGGATAACTAACGTTCACCTGTATTGCAAAGGTAGGTTATCATTTCAGTGCTGGTATAGAACCAGAAACAGAAAAAATTTCCCTTCACAACAAATGTAAAATGGCTGTGTTGGGTAAACCACAAGTGTTAAATCCAGGAGACAGAAATTGGCCATCTTTCAATATTTGTAATAAAAATAAAACTGTTTCTTTACTTACTTTCCCCCCCAATCTTAATAAATCTTTACTCTAAAAAAAAAAAAAAAAAAAAAAATGCTCGCCCACCCCTGTGACTGGGCCACCCACTGCCTATCTTGGCCTCACGTCTCAGCACAACTGTCGCCTTGCAGCGCCACCTGCTGGCCAGATGCTCCACAAACTGCACTCAGCTGTGGAGAGGCAAAGGGTCCCTGCCAGCTTCCCTAGTTCCCCTAGGGATGGTGCAGCCCTCACCGGCCTGGCATGGGGTTCCAGAACAGTCCACTGGAGTCAGGAAAAATCTGGGGCTGGCAGAGGGGCGGCATAATACATAACTCATATCTCATCTACCTCCCCCTGACCCCAGGGAGCGGGGTGTGCACAAGGATGGAGGCCACTTCTCCAGCTGCCTGTCTCTGCCACCCGGCCCAGCAGAGACAAGCAGGTGTGGGCCCAGGGCCTCCTCCCCGCATTTCCCCTCCTGCCCCAGGCTTCCAGTACCAGGCTCATCCCTGTACTCACGGGCACAGGTCGGACAGCAGTGCTGGGGCCCAGGGGGCAGGAGCTGGCTGCGGGGGCAGCCCACCAGGCTGGGACACTGCCGCCGGTGACAGCGAAGGCTGGGAGGCCCCTCAGGCTGTGGCTACAAGAATGAGTGAGCAGCGGTGGGTCCCGGGTCACAAAAACCCAGAGCTGCCCTTGGCGGGGACTTCCGGCCCCTCCCTCTGCCTGCTGCAACCTCTTCCGGGACGCATCTTGGGCCCTGAACTCCAGGCTGAAGAGAGACTCAGAGTCTTCTAGACATGCTCCTCACCCCATGCCCTAGTCTCCGAGATGATGTCTCCTTCTCCTTTCAGTCACTTGGGCCTGAGCCCTCGTGTGACCTTTGATCCTCCAGGAGGCTCATGCCATCCTCCTCCCCAGGCCCATGGCTTAGTCCCCTGGCCTGTGATGTCATTTGCCTGCTCCAAGCCCTTCCAGAGCCTTGCAAATAGAATCTCCACAACCCTAGCCACGTCCCAGGTGACTCTCCGGCCATACACACTCACTGCAGCAGGGGGGGACCACCCATGGCCTCCTGCACACTTGGAACCTGGGCTCCTTGTCTAAACCCAGGCCTCCAGGCCTTGTTGGTCCCAGCCCTGACTTGTCTCCTGGCCACAGGGATACACTTGTCTGGCCCCCAGAGTGCCCGCTCCATGAAGTGACCAGCTTGGCTGGGCCTCATCCCATGCTGCCCACTCCCCACCCCTCGAGGTGCCCTAGCCCCTCCACTGAGCCCTCACCTACCTGGCAGATGCACACTTCACAGGGGTCTGCCCCAGGCTGGAAACTTTCCCCGGGCTCGTACTTCCGGCCCTCATGCTCACAGTCTTTGGGGTGAGAGGAGAACGGGACCAGGGGGCCTTCAGGTTGGCAGCGAGGCCGGGGTGGAGTCCTCTGTCCCCAGCCTCCCCCTGACCCCAGGGAGTGGAGTGTGCACAAGGATGGAGGCCACTTCTCCAACTACCTGTCTTTGCCACCCAGCCCAGCACAGGCAGGGAGGTGTGGGCCCAGGGCTCCCTCCTTGCCTTTTCCCTCCCGTCCCAGGCTTCCAGTACCAGAGCATCGAGGACAGCAGTCATGGGGCCCCTGGTGGGGCTGGGCGCAAGAGCTGATGCACTGGACGCGTGCACAGGTGATGACACCCTCGTGACACACGCAGGAGGAGCAGGCACTGTCGGGGGGCACCCAGCTACTGCCTTCAGGGTGCTCTTCCCCATGAGCCAGGCAGCCTGTGGTGCAAGGTGGGCAGGGATGAGCTTGGAGGTTGAGGTCTGGATGTCTGCCCCTAGCCCCCCACCCTCAGTGGTCAGCTAGGCACGTGGCGCCAGGAGTAGTGGATTTGCAGGGATATGGCAGGAAGGCAGGATGGGGCAGAACTCCTGTCTGTTGTGGAGGGGAAATGCACTGGGTGGGGTTCAGAACACCTGGGTTCTAATCCTGTTCTGTTCCTGCCTGCTCTGAAGACCAAGCTCCAGGCAGCGGGCACTGCCCAGTGCAGCCCGCATCGGTCACAGTACCTGGCATGTAGCAGCTGTGTCATGAATGCATGTGGACCAGGTGAATGGCTCCATTGCTAACTGTGTGCCCAAGATAACTCAATCTCTCTGAGCCTCAGTCTCCTCATCTGTTAAATGGGGATTTCCTCTGTCCTGCCTCCCTCACAGAGCAAGTGAAATGCTATGACAGTTCTGTGGTTCTGTAGAAACAACACCAGGCTGGGCAGTGTGTGGGGTGAGGGGGCAGTGGGCAGGCTCAGAAAGGCTCAAGTTCAGAGCCAGATGGCCCAAGTGCCCATCTTGGCTCTGCCACCTTCTCTACCTCTCTGTAGCTCCACTTTCTCATCTGTAAAATAGGAGGAATAAGAGTACTTATCTGGTAAGGTTGTTGTGCTGATTAAATGAGATAATACACGTAAAGTGCTCAGGGCCTGGCACATGCTACCTGTTCAGTGAATGTCAGGTATCTTGATGATGATGATGATGATGATGGTGGTGGTGGTGGTGGTGGTGGTGGTGGTGATGATGATGATATGATGATGAATGGGGTGTGATTAGAAAGAGGGGCAGCTTTTTATTTTATTTTTGAGACAGAGTCTTCTTTGTTGCCCAAGCTGGAGTGCAGTGGTGCAAATGCAGCTCACTGCAGCCTCAAACTCCTGGGTTTAAGTGATCCTCCCGCCTTGGCCTCTCAAAGTGCTGGGATTTCAAGTGTGAGCTGCTGCACCCAAACCAAGAGAGGCAGCTTTGAGGGAACTCTAACCAGCACCTGGAAGAGGGATGGTCTGGGCAGTCCAGGACAGGGAGAGGTAGGAGAAGCTGAAGGTGGCAAGGGTGTATGCAAGCGCCAATTGTGGGGGCAGGGAGGTGGGAGAAGAGCTGGCTGAGGGGAGGGAGGTGGGGTGGGTACAGAGGGACATAGGGCCAAGGGGCTGAAGCAAGGGGTAGGGCTGGGGGCAGCCATACCTCTGCAGCGAGGGCAGCAGCTCCCCGGCTCGGTGACCTGGAGCTGGCAGGGAAGGGGTGGGCACTGCAGCCGCACACAGCTGACCTGGCCAGCCTGTAGGAGATGCAGAGATACTGACTTGCTGCCTAGGCTGGGCCCCAGAGGTGCTATGGTCCAGCCGTCACTCCATGCCTCCCACCTCCTGCTATACCTGACAGCGACACCATTCACAGCTGCCTGCTGCTCCCTCAAACTCCTCCCCATCCTGGTGCTCCCGGCCCTGAGAGACGCAGCCTGTGGGGGACATACCTCCTGGGTGGAGGGCCTGTACCACCCTGCCCTGCTCAGCCCAACCTTAGGCCTGGCAGGAAGGGAAGGGGGAGGCAGAGGTGGGGAAGGGCGTGGGGGCCGGGCACGAGGAAGGCAGCTCACTGTGGCAAACAGGGCAGAAGCAGGGGCCTGGAGAGGGGTGGGGGCAGAGAGCTGGGGGACATGGCTTCTTCTGGCAGCGCATGGAACCTTCCTAGGGGAGAGAGGCCCATCACACCCTCAACTGGGCTGCACATTTCCCCAGGGCTGGAGACCCTACTGAGCCTGCAGGGGCCCAAACACCCTCCCTTGGCCCGGGAGACCTGAGCCCAGTCCTGTCCCATGAGATGTCAAGGGCAGAGTGTAGCCCTTGCCACCTGAGTGGAGGAGACAGCCTCTTCCTGGCCGGAGAAGAGGATCAAGGGAGGAAAGGTGACCAAAGTCCCAAAGGGGCTGCCTCACCTGGCAGGTGCAGAGGGAACAGGCAGGGTCAAGTGGGTCAGGAAGGGTCTCTCCGGAGGCAGCAGTGACGCCATGGTAGTGGCATCCTGGCAGAGTGGGGAGTCCAACAGAAGAGCTGCCATCAACAGAGCCTCCACTGTCACACACACACACAGCTCCTCCCCACTCACACATACACACACAGCAGCGGGGAGTGCACCAGAAGAGCTGCCATCAACAGAACTGCCACTGTCACACACACACAGCCCCTTCCCCCTCCACGCATACGCACACAGCCACACCTACACCTACAGCCACACACACACATACACATACCCACATACCTACACATACCCAGGTACACACACAGCCACACCCACAACCACAGCCACACACACACATACACCAAGATACATACACAGCCACACCCACAACCACATACACACACACACATACACATACCCACATACATACACATACCCAGATACACACACAGCCACACCCATAACCACATACACACACACACATACACGTACCCACATACACATACCCAGATACACACACAGCCACACCCACAACCACAGCCACACACACACACCCAGATACACACACAGCCACACCCACAACCACATGCAAACACACCTACGCAGACACACACACACATACACACAGCAGGGGGGAGTGCAACAGAAGAGTTGCCATCAACGGAACCGCCACTGTCACACACACATTGCGCAGCCCCTCCCCCTCCACACATACACACACAGCCACACACACACATACACACACCCACATACACAGCCACACCCACAACCACATACACACACACATACGCAGACACACACACACATACACACATACACACAGCAGGGGGGAGTGCAACAGAAGAGTTGCCATCAACGGAACTGCCACTGTCACACACACGCGCACAGCCCCTCCCCCTCCACACATACCCACACAGCCACACACACACATACACCCACCCACATGCACACATATACCCATATACACACAGACATATACACATACACATACACACACACACACACATCCAGATACACACAGGCACACATACACTTACACACAGAGCCACACACACACAGACACATACACATACAACCACACACACCCCCACATACACACACAGATGCGCACACACCCACACACATACAGAGATGGCCCCCCCACATACACACACCCACACACAGGCACACACACACCCACACACACACATACACACACAGCCCCCCCCACACAAACATAGACACAAATACAGACACACACACACACCCACATACACAGCTACAGCCATATACACACACACACAGGGCCACACACATACACAGCCACACAAACACACATATACACACAGTCATACATACACAAACACACACATAGCCACACACACAGACACACATACAGCCACACACATACATATACACAGACACACATACACACACGGTCACACACACAGAGCAACACACACACATACACAGATACACCCACACAGAGCAACACACACACACACACACATACACACACACCCAAACACACAGGGCAACACATACACAGCCACACACAGATACACACATACACACACACAGTGACACATACATACACACACACAGCCACACACACATAGAGAAACACACACAGCCACACTCACAGCCACACATGGCCACACACATACACACAGAGCCACACACACACAGAGCCACACTCGCAGAGCCACACACACAGCCAGACGCACACACACATACAGACACACACAAACACACACACACAGCCACACATACACAGAGCCACACATACACACAAACACACAGCCCTGCTCGGGACCTCTATCAAAGGTGAGGGAGTCAGAGAGTGAGAGGAAAGTATGGTGGAGAGACAGGCAGTGGGAGGGCTGGGAAGAAAGCGGAATTGGTGAGAGAGGCACTCCTGGGAACCCCAGCAGGGCCAATGGAAGGGCAGGTGTGGCCCTACCCTGGCAGGTCGGGCAGCAGTGCCCAGAGGGGACGAATGGGTGGCTGCAGCCCGCGGGTTCACAGGGCCGGCGGCCGCAGGTCACGAAGCCTCCAAGGCAGGTACACAGGTTGCAGGGTTCTCGGGGATCTGGGAACTCCTGGTTACTCAGGTAGGACTCCCCCAGGTACTCACAGCCTTTCAGAGAAAAGACAGAGAGGCCGAGGGGAGGGACAGAAAGGGATCAGAGCACAGCAGTCGTAGGCTCTGAGCTTGGGCCTGTTATGCGTCCAAGATCTCAAAGATCTAGAGTAGGGGGTGGGGGTCACAGTCCAAGCCCAGGGAGCAAAGCAGTCGTGAGGGATTCGGGATTTGGATTGGCCAAACGGCAAACTTTCTCCCCTTTGTCCTGCAAAAAACTTTCCTATTTAACTTGTAGAAAAACACCCACAAGGAATCTGCTGCCCCAGGGTTAAATACTCAGCAGGCCACTGCCAGAGGCACCAGTTTTCCAACCTGGAGAGCTGGGAGTAGCCCCAGCTCACTCAGGTGGTGCGAACCCAAGGTAGCACCTTTCCCACACTCTTCCAAGCTCACTGATGAATCCAGGAGGGGGTGGGGTCCCAGGGTGGTGGCAGCCTGCCTTTGGCACCTCTGCCATTTGCTCACCTCCCTTTTTAAAAAAGAGAGGGTGAATTTCAGGCTCAAAGCCTTGGTGGGCAAAAGTATCTGACTAGGATTTAACAACATTATCATTTTAATTGTATTCATTTTTATGGTAATGTGGTCCTGGCAAGTCTACTTTTCCACTTACAGTATGATATAAAACTCCTTTCTAAATCAATTTAAATTAATAAGTGAGTTAATCGGAAGGCACGTAGTAAACAAAATTACAGTTGGTAGAGGGCGACTGGCCAAAACTGCCAAGATTGCACAAGAGTGAGGGAGGACAGGAGGACTGGGGGACTCGGTCTTTTTACAAGAGCCAAATTTAGGCCCAGAGGTTATGTAACTTGCCTAAGACCACGCACCAAATAGCAACAGAGGCAGGAGAAGATCCAGGCTTTTGTCTCAGGCTTTTTTTTTTTTTGGCCAAGGTCTCACTCTGTCACCCAGCCTGGAGTGCAGTGGCGAAAACATGGCTCACTGTAGCCTCAAACACCTGGGCAATCCTCCCACCTCAGCCTCCCAAGTAGTACAAGAGCCACCGCAACCAACTGATTTAAAATTTTTTTGTGTAGAGATAAGATCTTGCCAAGGTGGTCTTGAACCTCTGGGCTCAAGCGATCCTCCTGCCTCAGCCTTCCAAATTGTTGGGGTCACAGGCTCCAGCTAGGCTCCCAGCCTCAGGGCTTTTTCTTACTGTAATAAATATTTTAGATCCACCCTGGGGCAGTAAAGATTATGCGGACCCAGCCCTCTGGTCCCCCCATCCCACCCCCGCAGTTCCCTATCCCCTAACCCTCACCATCACAGTTAGGGCAGCAGTCGCCCCTGGCAGGGAAGGGGCACAGTGCAGGGGCACATGCCTTGGGCTTGCAGCTCACGCTGCCCTCCCAGCAAAGGCAGAGGTGGCAGGCGGCAGTGGTCGATGGGAAGCGCTCCCCGCTGGCAAACTCCTTCCCCTGGTACAGGCAGCCTGGGGAGAAGGGCAGGGGCTGGGGGCCGTGGGGGATGGGGGCCGTGCGGGCTGGCTCCCAGGCCTTGCTGACCGGACATTACATTCCTAACGAGATGGGCGGAGCGGGCCTGGAGGAGGTGGACTGGGCAGGGCGCTCCGAGGCGGGGAGGGCCGGGGCAGGCCGGGACGGGGCTGCAGGACGCTGGTGGCCTGGAGGAGCGCCGCCAGGGCGTTACCGTCGCAGGAGGGGCAGCAAGGACCCTGGCGCGGGTGCGCGCAGGGCGCGGGCGGGCAAGGCAGCCGATGGCAGGACACGGAGCCGTCGAGGCAGAGGCAGCGGCGGCAGGGATCGCCGGGCGGGGAGAAGTACTCCTGGTGGCGGGCGGGGACCGCGCCGGGCCGTGGGCAGCCGGCGGGAGCCGGGGGTGCTGCGGCGAGAGCGCGCGTCAAAGGGGCCCAGGAACAGACCTCCGAGGGGACCTCGGGGGAGGAGCAGCCGAGGGATGCGGCCCCTACCCGGGCACTGCGGGCAGCAGTCTCCCGGCAGCAGGACAGGTTCTGGACAGGGCAGCGGCGAGCAGCGGCGGGTCAGGCACTGCACGTTGCCGCTCTACGGACCGACAGACGCACCACGGGTCGGTGGGTTAGTTGGGGGAGGCCGAGGAGACCCCTCCCATCCAGTTGCCACCAGGTGCCACCAGGTCCCACCCCTCCCACCTGGGCGGGCCTCTCCTGGCCTCCGCAAGTCCCGCCTCCACTCCCCTGGGTTCCTCCCACCCAGATGCAGACTCACCAGACAGCGACACAGACGGCAGGGGTCAGAGGGGTGGGGGAAGTCCGCTCCGCTGGCATACTCTTTACCGCCAAAGGCACAGCCTGTAGGAGGGAGCGGCTATAGCCTGGGAGACGGCGACTCCCCCAGGGCTTGCTGCCTTCCCAGGGCCACGTCATCCCAGAAGGTCGCCCCGACTCGCCCAGCTCACCGCTGCAGTCGTTCCGGCAGCAGGTCCCAGGCAGCGGGTGGACACAGGGGGCCCTGAGGCAGGCGCGAGGCTGGCAGCGGGCATGGCCTTCCTGGCATCGGCACTCCTGGCAGGGGTCTCGGGGGTGGGAGAAGCTCTCACCGTCCACAAACACCTCTTCTTCCAGGATGCAGTCTAGGCAGTGGACAGTGGAGGCAGGTATGAGGGCAAAGCCTGACAGCCCCTCCAGCCCTGGAGTCTGGAGCCGCTGCCCAAGTGCCCACTTGGAAGCTGACTTGATAGGGAAGAGGAGAAAGTGGCCATGTGCACATGTGTGCAGGCGTGTGTATCATTCTGAGCACACACATGTGTGTGCATGTGCACTGGGGATCATTCACCTGCAGGCAGATGTGTGTTTCTGAGGGGAAGAAGGGGAGTGCTTACACACGTGTGTACCTGTGTTTGACATACGCCCTCACACAGACTCTATGCGGGCAGGGACATGTCCCATGCATCCCAGCACCCGGCCTCCTATGTGGCAGGCTCAAGTGTCTGCTCATGAACCTGTGTTATCCACGTAGATACCTGGGGGCTGGGGGGTGGGGGCTCTAGAGTGGTGGTGGGGGACAGTAGTTAGTAAAAGAGGAAATGCAGCATGGGAGGGGAGGGTGGTGTAGGTACAGGCAGGAATAAACAAATCTCTTCTCTCCCTCCCACCCACACACACCCCCTGAGTTCCAGAAAGTTCTAAGCTCTGAAACAGGACTGAAACAATTCAGAAGGCCAATGCTTTCTAAGGTATCTGTTGGGTCCATGGGACTGTGGGACAGCAGCCTCTGGGGCCCTGATCCCCTCAGGCACAGTGAGTGCCCACATACCTGGGCACCTGGGGCAACACTGGCCCGGTCCACTCTGGGGCCTGGCACAGGTCGTGAGAGGGCAGTCAACCAAGGAGCATGTCACAGTTCCATCCTGGGAGACAGCAGGGGAGAGAGCAATGGGGGCACGCCCAGGAGGGGCTCAGCAGGGCAGCAGCAAGGCTGGGCAGCTACCTGGCAGCGGCAGACATGGCAAGGGCTGTCTGCATCCGTGAAGTTCTGCCCATTGGCATACACTTGGCCATGGTAGGTGCAGCTGTCACAGCTGGGGCAGCAGGCACCTGGGTGGGGCAGGCTGGTCAGGGTGAGCTGGGTAATGCAGGGGAAGAAAGCCAGGATCAGCCCAGGCACTCACCAGGGGGCTGGGTGGGGTGCTGGCAGGGGGCTGGGGGACAGAGCGCAGCCCCGCACTTCGGTACCCCATCTTGACAGACGCAGGTGGTGCAGGGCCGACCATCAGGCTCCCACTGGACTCCCTCAGCAAACTCCTCTCCATCCAGCACACAGGCTGTAGTAAGGGGGCTGTCACATGGCAGCCTGCACACCTCCCACTCATCCCTGTCCTTCCCAGGACACAGGGACCCCAGCTTCACCATCCCCACTGACACTGTAGAATGGCTAGTGGATGTAGCAACCCGTACGCCGTCCAGGGAAGGAGCACCCTCCATTTGCAGCCCCCGGAGGCGGCGCCCGTAGCAGCTGCTCCTCCCCTTCTCACACACACCTGGGCAGAGCTGGCGACCAGAGGCAGGCAGGGCACAGGGAGTGACTGGGCACTCCTGCTCCTCACAGGAGACCTCGCCAGCCTAGGAGGGAAGTAGGTGAGACACCCTGAAGGAATGAGGCAGATCTGGGTGTGAGCGGAGGAACCGCCTACCTGGCAGGAGCAGCGGACACAGAGGCCCCGCTCTTGGAGTGTGAAGGTCTCCTGGCTCTGATACTGGTGTCCCTGGTACTCACAGCCTGGATGGGATGACAGGGGCGTGGGGTAATAGGACTGGAAGCAGACGGGAAGCTTCACATCACCCCAAGACGTCCAACCCCCACCCAGACAAAGAAGACCCAGCAGAGTTCTCCAGGGTGCCCTGCCAGCAGCCCCCCGCCCCCCACAGCTATGCCACAGAAGCGCAGGCCCCAGCATGGTGCCAGTTTGTCATGAAAAGGTGTGGTGAGGACTCACTTTGGGAACAGGGTAACAGGGGCTTAGGTCCAAGAGAAGCAAATCCCCCACACCTGGAGCCTCTCTGTGGCCAAGGCTGCCCCTCCCGCAGTGACTCCGGCCCCCACTCACCATCGCAGACAGGGCAGCACTGCCCAGGGATCTTGCCTGGGTGTCTGCAGGGCACCGGCGGGCAGGGCAGAGGCTCACACTGGACACTCCCGTTCTGCCAACAGGGCCTGGTCAGGACACCAGAGGCAGGCCAGGGAGCCAGGCCCTCCCTGCCAGGCAGCCACACTCACAGCGCAGCGGCAGTGCGAGCAGGGGTCCCCTGAGCCCACGGGCTCCCCGCTGCGGTGCTCCCGCCCGTTTAGGAAACAGCCTGTTGGGAAGGGGGGCCTTAGATGTTCCTCCGGGGCCCCTCCCTGCCCTCTCCTGGCCTCCATGGGCTCCCGAGCAGGGCCACCCATCAGCTTTCTCCAGGTTGCCCCCCGTGGTCAGGTCCCTGCCCTACCCACCGACTCACCATCACACACAGGGCAGCAGGTGCCTGGGAGGGGCCGGGCTGGGTACGGACACAGGCTGGCACATTCTCGCTGGCGGCACTGGATGTGACCCTCCTGGTGGGGAGAATGAATAGGGGAAGGGGCTGTCAGGGCTCAACTGAGAGGAGGAAATGGCATTAGAATCCCCGCTATCCACTTATTAGATGTTGTTATGGATTGAATTGTGTGGCCCCATCCCCAAATCCATATGTTGAACTCCTCACCCCAGTACCTCAGCCTGTTACATTATTTGGAAACAGGGTCATTGCAGACGTAATTAGTTAAGATGAGGTCATACTGGATCAGGGTGGGTCTCTAATCCAATATAACTAGTATCTTTTTTTTTTTTTTTTGAGATGGTGAAAAAGACCTTGCTGATAAAACAAGTTGCAGGTTTACAGGTTGTAAGTTGAGACAGAGTTTCACTCTTGTTGCCCAGGATGGAATGCAATGGTGTGATCTCAGCTCACTGCAACCTCTACCCCCTGAGTTCAAGCGATTCTCCTGCCTCAGCCTCCCGGGTAGCTGGGATTACAGGCACGCACCCCCATGCCCTGCTAATTTTTTATACTTTTAGCACAGACGGGGTTTCACCATGTTAGCCAGGCTGGTCTCAAACTCCTGGCCTCAGGTGATCCACATGCCTTGGTCTTCCAAAGTGCTGGGTTTACAGGCGTGAGTCACTGTGCCAGGCAGTATCCCTCTAAAAAGGGGAAATTTACACACAGACACACAGACACACACATACACACACAGGGAGAACGATATGGAAAAGAGAAGGCAGAGGTTCAGGTGCTGCAGAAGCCAAGGAATGCCAGTGATCGCCAGCGAACCACCAGAAGCGAGGACAGAGGCTGAAGCAGATTCCTCCTCACAGTCCCAGAAGGAACCAACCCTCCCACACCTTGGTCTCACACTTCTGGCCTCCAGAACTGAGAGACAATATATTTACATTGTTCAAGACACCTAGTAAGTGGCACTTTGTTACAGCAGCCCAAGAAACTCATACGGATACACAAACTGGCATGTCACTTAAGCTCTCTGTGACTCAGTTTACTCATCTGAAAAAAAATGGACAATAATAGTCCTGTTCTCATAGGCTTGTTGTGGGATCAAAGGAAACAAGGGATCTGGTGTCGCGCCTACCTCTAGAAGCTGGTACTTAGCATGGTGACTGCTGCCACTCCCCAACGGCCTGACTCCAAAAGACCCCATGCTTTGAATTCACACCCACATCCCTGGGCCCACTGCCTCCAGCTCCGTCAGGGTCTGAGCAGCCAATGACTTCTCATGGGTGGGGAGAGGGAGGATATGGTTGTGTCAAAGGAGTTTGAACCACAGCAACTCCATCTTGAATAGGGGCTAGGTGAAATGAGGCTGAGACCTAGTGGCCTGCATTCCCAGATGGTTAGGCATTCTAAGTCACAGGATGACATAGGAGGACGGCACAAACTACAGATCATAAAGACCTTGCTGATAAAACAGGTTGCAGCCAAAACCCACCAAAACCAAGATGGCAATGAGAGTGACCTCTGGTTGTCCTCACTGCTACACTCCCGTCGGCGCCATGACAGTTTACAAATGCCATGGCAATGGCAGGAAGTTACCCTACATGGTCTAGAAGGGGGCGTCATGAATAATCCACCCCCTGCTAAGCATATCATCAAGAAATAACCATAAAAATGGGCAACCGGCAGCCCTCAGGGCTGCTCTGTCTATGGAATAGCCATTCTTTTACTCCTTTACTTTCCTAATAAACTTGCTTTCACTTTGCTCTATAGACTTGCCCTGAATTTTTTCTTGTGCAAGATCCAAGAACCCTCTCTTGGGGTCTGGATCAGGACCCCTTTCCTGTAACATCTTTCTGGCGACCACTGAAGGGATGATAGTGCAGTTACCCCCGACCCACAGGCTAATTTTGGTAAGTGATGGGATCTGGTAACATCTTTCTGATGAGCCATGGAAGGAACAATACTGAAGAAATCCCCCGACCTTCTAAATAGGCTGCACCAGTGGGGTGCATATACCCAGGGAAAGAATGGGATTGGGTCAGAGGCCCCACTTAGGGGAGTTAGAGGCCTCTCTTAATAAAAGGCATGGACACTTGATGGGCCTTGGGATAGAGGCCCAACTCAGGAAGGTTAGAGTCTGTTCTAAGATTTAAACGATTAGAGGCCCCTCTGGGTAAAGTCTCTCCCAGTTAAGAATGGGTTTGGCACTACAGGATGTTAACTGCTATTCTCTTGGGATTAATCTGTCTTGTACTCACAGCTGACGGCTGTGGGTGACAGGATTAGGCAAATACAGGATCGTGGGACATGAGGAGTTTTTTCCTCGCTAAAAGGGAAAATTTAAGAGCTGATAGGACTGCCAAAAAAGATCCCTTCGTGGCCCGGCGCTGTGGCTCACGCCTGTAATCCCAGCACTTTGGGAGGCCAAGGAGGGCAGATCATGAGGTCAAGAGATTGAGACCATCCTGGCCAACATGGTGAAACTGTTTCTACTAAAAATACAGAAATTGGCCGGGCGCGGTGGCTCATGCCTGTAATCCCAGCACTTTGGGAGGCTGAAGTGGGAGGATCATGAGGTCAGGAGATTGAGACCAGCCTGGTCAACATAGTGGAACTCCGTCTCTACTAAAAATACAAAAAATTAGCTGGGCGTGGTGGCAGGTGCCTGTAATCCCAGCTACTTGGGAGGCTGAGGCAGGAGAGTCACTTAAAGCCGGGAGGCAGAGGTTGCAGTGAGCCACAATTGCGCCACTGCACTCCAGCCCGACGGACAGTACAAGACTCCATCTGACCAAAAAAAAAAAAAAAAAAAAAAATTAGCTGGGCGTGGTGGCACACGCCTGTAGTCCCAGCTACTCGGGAGACTGAGGCAGGAGAATCACTTGAAACCAGGAGGCAGAAGTTGCAGTGAGCTGAGATCATGCCATTTCACTCCAGCCTGGTGACAGAGCAAGACTCCATCTCAAAAAAAAGAAAAAAAAAAAAATCCCTTCACTACTGATACGCGGCCACCCAAACTTTTGAGCAACAGGTGGGTCTTTCTCTGGCCTCCCTGAGCACTTCACCTTTCCCACTCTGCCTCAGGCAATGCTTCCCCCTTTGCCCTCCACTGCAAGTTGGTTGAATGAATGGTAAAAATCACCGTTTATTTCCTCTGCAAAGTTTTGATTAATGGAAAAAAAGAATGTGTGAGCTAGTCTTAAGCTATAGTGAATCTGGTGTGCTTTGTGTGTCTTTCTGTATTGTTCTGTCATAAAGAAAGGTACCTTAGAATAGAACACAGGCTTAGGACGCCTGTAAGCCTGCTTTTCAAGACAACCCAGCAAACTGGTCAGTTACAAACTTTGCTGCAGGTCCCTGAAAAAAAACTGGATAAGGTTTCCCTCTTGTCTTGTATGTCCTTGGGAGCTTGACCTTGTAACCACATGGCAGTACTCTCTCCTGGTCTCTGCCATCACAATGGTGACTTGGGTTCAGGGTTCAATTCACAACTTAGAGGATGAGCCCTTTATCTTCTTTTGTCTGTGTATTTATATGTGTGGTATGTGTGATGTTTATACAGAAAAGAGCTTTAACTAATTGGTTTAATAATAATAAGAGCTTAAATATTTTGTCAGAAAAGTAAAAAGTCTAATGCCTTTTAGTTCATGTGACTTAAGTAATCTTTGGGAAATAAGCACAGTTTTAAAGATTATTGATAAAATAAAAATATCTTCAAATATTTAAACATTTGGTCTAAATTATGCAGGTCAGATATTAGATTTGCTAAATGCTTTAAGGTCATAAACTGCTTCCTTGACTTTTGAAAATTATCCAATTTATTTTGGAGCTTTAGATTCTAGATAAGGCCTGGGGACATGTGGAATTAGCCATGTCTCCTAGCTATGCAAAAAAGGTTATAAAGCAAATAGATTTTATATAAGAAAGGATCTTGTATGGTAAACTCGTGTTCTAAAGTAAAATGATTGGTTGTTTAAAGAGAGGAATGTTTAAGACAAGTCAGAAAGTTCCAAGCATATTATAGATCGTCTGTGTAAGTCATGAAAGAATTCGTGAAAGGGAATTTATGCAATAAATGTTGTACAATTTAAAGGGTGTTAGGCCTCCTAAAAGTTTCATAAAATGCCGCTATGACTCTTTTTTTTTCTTTCTGTTTTTTTTTTTGAGACAGTCTCACTCTGTCACCCAGGCTAGAGTGCAATGGTGCGATCTTGGCTTACTGCAACCTCCACCTCCTGGGCTCAAGCCAGTCTCCTGCCTCAGCTTCCTAAGTAGGTGGAATTATAGGCATGCACCAGCATGCCCAGCTAATTTTTGTATTTTTAGTAGAGATGGGGTTTCACCATGTTGCCCAGGCTGGTCTCAAACCACTGACCTCAAGTGATCTGCCCACTGTGGCCTCCCAAAGTGCAGGGATTACAGGTGTAAGCCACAGCACCCAGCCACACTATGACTCTTAACTATACAACTTGCCTGCTTTACAGTTAGGTAAGTCCTGGGACATGTGGAGTTTGCCACATCCCCTAGCTATGCTGGAAAAAGTCATACCTTATCCACACTTCTGCCTGGTGTGTCCTAGGCTAGGTTCCACACCTAGTACATAGTTAAAATCCTGAATTTACCAAGGTTTTCACCAAAAGTAAAAGTTGCTAAGGGTTACCATTGTAACATGTGATTGAGACTACTGAAAAAATAGTTCTACATAATAGTTCTTATATACATAAGGTATATAAGAAAAGTAGAATGTACTTTTGGTAAAGGATTATAAAAAGTCATGGGAATATGGATTTATTGCCTAAATTTAGAGGGTTAAAAGATTGTTTTAAGTTAGACAGAATAAAGCTGAAGGTTTGAGCAAGTTGTGGAAGGTTTGTGAAAAATTAATCTTGTAAAATAAATTGTGTGTGAACATATTGGTTAAGGTTAAAGGGGTATTATCCAGTTTTTCTGTAAATTGAGCATTGGAATAAAAGTGCAACAGGTTTTTCTTAAAGCAAAACCTGCTTGTAATCTGCTCTTTAACAAAAATTTGTAAAGGGTTATAAAACATTTATGAAAATCTTACCTTATAGTCAAACTGATTAAGAAATATTTGTCTATAAGGTTTTATTAAGAATTGAGTTTGACAGCAATAATGCACCCATGCAACAGTGACATTTGGCTTATTTGGTATAAAAGTCATATAGGAAGTACTGTCAAATATGAAATGGTATTTGGTTTTCTTATGGCTGTGTTTATATAAATGTGTTATATGTTCCAAAATTATAAGAAACTCCTATAATGCTGATATGACAGTGTATGTTATTAATAATTATAATTGTTATGTGAAATTATTATATGCCACAAGGGTAACCAAATTTTCTTTTTATTATATGCCACAAGAGTAACCAAATTTTCGGCCGGGTGCAGTGGCTCAAGCCTGTAATCCCAGCACTTTGGGAGGCCGAGACGGGCGGATCACGAGGTCAGGAGATCGAGACCATCCTGGTGAACACCGTGAAACCCCGTCTCTACTAAAAAATACAAAAAACTAGCCGGGCGAGGTGGCGGGCGCCTGTAGTCCCCAGCTACTCGGGAGGCTGAGGCAGGGAGAATGGCGTAAACCCGGGAGGCGGAGCTTGCAGTGAGCTGAGATCCGGCCACTGCCACTCCAGCCCGGGCTACAGAGCGAGACTCCGTCTCAAAAAAAAAAAAAAAAAAAAGAGTAATACCAAATTTTCTTATCAATTGTAGCTTTTATAGTGGCTGTCCTAAAACTTTTTACCATCCACAAACAATTGTTATCTTGTTTTAACCCTCTTTAAAAGGTGGTTTTATAATCAACTATAGAACTTCAACAGGTGCACTTAGATGCAGGCTTTCTGATAACTTTGGAGACTGTGATATCAGAATAGATGAAAAAACTTTCAGAACTCTCATAGAGAGCTGAAATGTTCATGAATGTCAAACAGAAGTTAACTGCATGGACTGACATAATCTATTTGACTTTTTGTTCAAAACATTGCTGATCCTTTGTTTTATTTTTCATAGTAAAAAAAACCTTTTTTTGAGCTATTTACAGCTTTTGGCAATCGAGTAAAGTATACTCCTGTGAACAAAATTTGAAGCATATTTCTTTCTTTCTACCTAATTTATCCAGAATTTGGAAACTGTTTGTAAGTATTCTTAATTTATGGCAATATAGCTATTTGCATGTGTGCAACAAAAATCTGTTTTCTTTTGTAACAGGACACAATTGGAGAAACTGGCTATTTTACCAAGGCTTTGACTGGAATGGCATACTTTCCCTTAAGGAATCAAACTTGAGTTGTAGAGCCCATAAACGCCCCTTGGGGAAACTGGCCTCATACCTTGGCTACACAGTGCCTGTACAGGGTTTCTGACCTGTGGTAAGTAAAGAATGTCACTTTCTAACAGGCCCAGGAGCCCCAAGTTATCTTGGAACCTCAAGAGGAGAGGAATTTACTCAACTCATAAGTATTTGAGGGTACAAACCCATGGCAAGGCTTGGCTCAAAAAAAAATCCTATCTGAGATTCTTTATGGAACAGAGTTCCATCAAAGCCAATTTCAAAGAGCTTATATAAAAAATAGTTATTCTTGCCACACTTTATACAAATAATCAGGCCAAATATAATAAGGCAAATCAGTGTTACCATGATTAGTCTTTAGTAAAAATGGGAAACTGGAGAGAGAAATATTATATTTCAAGAACTATGGTATACTTGTTATTAAATTCTAGTCTTGGCAGTTGTTTTTAAGTTTGTTTTTGCAATTTAGACTGACTGCTTGTTCCTGTGACCCAACCAGAGATCTCTGGCTGCTGCAGAAAAGAAACAAAAAGGATGGGTTATGTAAAAATCTGGAGTCAATATTCTAATTCTAGGCATGTACTGGAATCATCTAGCAATCCCATATCAGCTTGGTTCCAACAGTTGTCCAGTTCATGGAAAACCTTCTAATTTAGTTTACTTGAGATAATTTCACTGATTTTGCTTTACTCTTGTGGAATATGTTTCTGTTGTACTCTTTGGGTAGGAATAAGGATAAGCTTACTCAACGTTTTCTTAAAGTAAACATTTATTAATCTTCCAGATATCAACTTTTGTCAGAACTCGGAGTTATGAATGGCCCTTGCCATACTGATGCTTTCTGATTAAGCATCTCTCTACCCTGAACACAAGAGAGACCCTAATAGTTAGGCAGGAATGTCATTGTCCCTATTCAGCCTGAAGAAATTACAGATGGATCTTTGTCCCTTTGCACCCCTTAGGATTAAGGGTTCTCTTATAAAAGGGAGGGGGAAAATGTCAGAGGCATGTGAACCAGGGCAACTCCATCTTAAATAGGAGCTGGGTAAAATGAGGCTGAGACCTACTGGGCTGCATTCACAGATGGTTGGGCATTCTAAGTTACAGGATGAGATAGGAGGTCGGCACAAAATATAGGTCATAAAGACCTTGCTGATAAGACAGGTTGTAGTAAAAAAGTCAGCCAAAACCCACCAAAACCAAGATGGCAACGAGAGTGACCTCTGGTCGTCCTCACTGCTATACTCCCACCAGCGCCATGATAGTTTACAAATGCCATGGCAATGTCAGGAAGTTACCCTACATGGTCTAAAAAGGGGAGGCATGAATAATCCCTTCTTGTTTAGCATATCATCAAGAAATAACCATAAAAATGGGCAACCAGCAGCCCTCAGGGCTGCTCTGTCTATGGAGTAGCCATTCTTTTATTCCTCTACTTTCTTAATAAACTTGCTTTCACCTTACTCTGTAGACTTGCCCAGAATTCTTTCTTGCACGAGTTTCAAGAACCCTCTTTTGGGGTCTGGATTGGGACCCCTTTCCTGTAACAATTGCATTGGGGTTGGGTGCCCTGTAGCCTTCGCACAGAGTCCTTAGTACTTAGCAGGCTGTCAGGAAGCTCCCATGAAACACAGCCCTCCTCAGGTGCCCACCTGGCCATCACGGCTTACATGTTCCTACCTCCCCTAGGCTATTCCTTATATCTGGGGTACCTTCCCCTCATTTTCCCTGCTCAAACCCTACTTGCCCTTTGAGGCGTAAGTAAACACTGCCCCCACCATGAAGACAAAACAGATGAAATTAAGTTTTAAAAACATATTTCATTTGACCCAATATATCCAAACTGTTATTTCAACATGTAATCAACATACAATAGATTACTATTTTACATTCCTCTATTTCATAGGAGGTCTTTGAAATCCGGCATATATTTTACACTATGGCACATCTCATTTTGAACCTGGCCACACGTCAAGGGCTGGGTAGCCACATGTAGTAGTGGCTGTAAATTGGACAGCACAGTTCTAGATGTCTCAAGTCAAACTGTGATTCTCCCGCCCTGGAGCTTTTGCTGCCCGCCATATCCTGCCCAGTCTCCTCCTCCAGCCTGTGAGCTCCTTGAGTTCATTCACTAACCCAGGCTGAGCACCTATTGGGCTCAGAGCTGAGCACGCAGATGAGCTCTGCCCAGCCCCCAGCAGACAGTGCCTAGGTCTTCTCCATTGGGTTCCCTTTCAACACCTCTGCGAAGTATTCCATGGAATGAGGCAAAGAATATAGTGGGCCTGAGGGCAGGGAAGGGGACAGACCAGGAGCAGCCTCATGACTCACCAGGCACTGGCAGATTCGGCAGGGGTCCCCCGGTGTGGTCCACTCTTGGCCATGTTCCCAGTGAGAGCCACCTTCTGTGCAGCCTAGGGTTGAGGGGGTGAGCAGAGGGAGGTCCGGTAGGAGCTGGCCTAGACCCCAGCCTCAGCCTGCCCGCCCTCCTTGTCTACATGCCGTCTGAGGGCTCTCTCCTGAGCCAAGACTAGATGGGGTCAGATCTCTGCCTAGATTCCCCAGTGGCTCCCAGTGCCCCAGGCAGGGTGAGGCCTCAGCTCCTTAGCCCACCCTTTCTGGTCTTCCCTGGACAGAGCATGGCCACACCCATATGCCCCACCTATCTCCGGCCCCTCGTCACCTCTCGAACCTTCCCAGCCAACATCACACACCCACCCTGAGTGTCAGGGCCACACCTGTGCTTGATTTCTCCCCACTTCCTGGGAGGTTCACTGCCTTCGTCAGCCCTTCACCAAGCTAACTGCTCTCTATCCTTAAGGGCCACCTGGGGACCAGCTGCCTCCAGGCCGCTTTCCCTCCTGTGCCCAGGCTGGATAGGGTCTCCTTCCTCTGAATCCGCACAGTGGCTGGTACCTGCTTCTATTCCTGCCCTTGACTGGTACAGGATTTTGCATTAGTGTTTGACTCAGTGTCACACTCTAGTGGTCATCCCTGAGGGCTGACCCCATGTCTAATGATTGGGGAGCACAAAGTAGAAAGCAAGCATTTATTAAGCAGCACAATGAGGTATGGAATATCATTATCTGCACCTTACACATGGGGAACTTGCGGTAGAGAATCACACAAGCCCTAGATGGCAATGGCAGAATTTGAACTCAGGCATTCCAGCTCCCCCATGGACCAAACCCACCGGAGGCCAGCAAGGTGGGTTCTGGAATTCAAGAAATGGCACGATAGCCTACCTGTGGCTCTACCAGGGAAGGGCCAGGGGCTCTCACCTTGGCAGGTCGGGCAGCAGTGCCCAGGCCTCAGGACTGGCTGTGGGCAGGGGCTGGGCGGGCACTTCAGGGACATACAGCGAGCTCGGCTCCTCTGTAATGCACCAGTGGCTGTGAGGCTTCTGATCTGGCTCCCGCAGAGGGCAGGGTGGGTGGGTGTTGGGCACCCTCAGAGAAGGGGGACACAGGGCAGAGATGGAGGGAGAGCTTAGCTGGCTCCAGCTCTTGCGAGGCATGTGAGGGGGCTGGAGGAGTGGCAGGGCAGGTATCCAGGGAGGAGCAGGGCCTAGGCCGAGGGGACAGGTGGACTCACCAGGCAGGTGCACTGCAGACAAGGGTTGGAACTGGATAGGAAGGTGCTCCCCTCCTCATAAAGCTGCCCCTCATACTCACAGCCTGTGAAGGTTGGCAGGATGACAAGTGGGTTACCAGGGAGCAGGGTGGGTGGACATCACTTGAGGGAAGGCGTGACCCCAAGTAGGTACTGGACCCTTGGGGTTGAAGGGATGGCAGGGCAGGGCAGGGCAGGACAGGGCAGGTCACCGGGCCGGCAGATGGGGCAGCACTCCCCAAGTGGGGTGCAGCTCTCCAAGCAGTTGAGCTCTGAACATGAGAACTGCTGGCACTGCACAGCCCCTGCCTGCAGGGCAGATACTGAGCCAGCCCTCCCTCCCCACACCATCCTCCCTCTTTCTGTCTATTCCGCTCTCCCTCCTCGTCCCTTCCTGCTCCGTCCCTCTCCATTGCCAGAGTTGGCTTACTCTGCAGGCTTGGCAGGCTTCAGCCCTGATGCCTGGGCAGCGGCAGTAGCAGCCCTGCCTAGCCCCCATATTTGGGCTTGGCATGGCCAGGCCAGCAGTCTGCCCAGCAGCAGGGATATGGGTGGTGGCTGATTCCTTTACCTGGCAGGTGTGGATGACACAGGGCTCTGGATGCCATGCTTCCCCAGCCCCGTGGCCCCAGGGCAGCCTGGATAACCAGGCCCTGGCCCACAAGTAAGAGACCCAAAGGACTGGGTGCCACATTAAAGGGACACCATTCACATGACAGACATCAGCGATTTTAATATTTACTACACCTTTCCAGCAGATGGCAGTAAAGTGTCAGACAGGCACATCATCGGCACGGTTCCATTATTTTACAACAGATGGAAGTAGTGTCTTGAGGAAAGGATGCCTTTTAAAATTTCACCAAAGACATTATATAGGCTAGCGGTGGCCCTGAGGCACCACGTGCCCTGAAGAGACAGAGTGTGTGTGTGTCTTTTCTTTGTGTGTCTTTTCTTTGAGATTCATAAACCCTCAAGATTTTAGTCCTCTTCTCCAGCCAACACCCCAGGCTGCATTTCCAGACCCAACGGGTCTGAGTCCCTGTCCCACCTTTCTTACTACCAGCTGAGACTCCTCTCTTGGTGGGGTTGCCAGACAAAATACAGGATGCCCAGTAAAATTTGAATTTCAGATTAATAAAATGTCATTTTTAGTATAAGAATATCCCAAATATTGAATAGGATATACCTGTACTAAAAACTGACATGCTGTTTATTGAAATTCAGATTTAACAAAGCATTCTAGACTTCATTTGCTAAATCTGGCAACTCTATCCCCCTATGAGCCAGTAACACCCCTCTGCATAGCCATGACCTCCTCTTCCTCCCAGCTCTCTTCATGTCCCCGGCAACACTGCTATCCTAGTGTCCCAAACTCAGCCTCCACTATTCCAGGGGACCCAGCCAGTCACAGACTCCTGCCCGTCCTTTAGAAACACCCCCCTTTATCCAGCCCACGGGATCCCTGGCTCCATGCCTAGACAACTGCTGTCACAGCCCTGATTCCTCCGTCTGCATCCAGCCCCCACCAGGTGAATATTCCTCAAGCGCCCCCTTGACCATGCCACACGCTGCTTCAGCCTTCAATGCCCCCACTGCCCATAGAAGAAAGTCCTAATTGCAAGGCTTCCAGCAGCCTGTTCCCATGGCCTTCCCACATGGCCTCCTGCAACCCACCTCTCTCCACCCTGTCCTTGTGCACAGAGGACCCTCACATACTCCCTCTCCTTCAGGTGGAAACCCACTCTCCCATGAAGACCCAGCTCAAAGGACCCATTGTCTGGAAAGGTCCCCTGACTGCCCAGCCTGGACGGGCTTCTGCTGCCTCCTGTGCCCTCCTCTGGCAAAGCACACACTGCAGCCTTCTACACCTCCTCTTAATCTGCTCATTGGGTCTTACATCTTGTGGTAGCTTGGCTATGAGTTTATCTTCTCAACTAGATTGGAGGCTCCCTGAGGGCAGGAAAAAGATTTTGTGCCTGTTTTCCTATGGTCTCTGGCTCAGTCCCAGGCCAGAGCCAGTATTTGCTGACTTGTACATGGGTTCTGCACTCCCCTGGCTACTGTCAGAGTGAGAGGACAGGCACCCCTGGGCATGTCCCAGACTCGTTGACCCTCAGGTGGCAGGTTGTGGCTGTGGGCCACAGAAGGCATGCAGGAGGTGGAGCTGAGGCTGGCAGGAGGCTGACCTGGCTCACAGTGCGGGCAGCATGCTCCTGGCTCAGGGCAGGGTCCTCTTGGACATGGCTTCGGCGTGCAGCTGATGGTCCCTTCCTGTGGGAGCAGACTGAGGTGGCTGCACAGGCCTCAGAACCCCAGAGCACAGGGCCTCTCGAAGCAAAACCTCAGCCCAGGCTGGGACATGTCAGAGGGGCAACAGGATAAGTTGGCTCTGAGGATGTGGGCTACCCTCACTGTAAAGGCAGAAAAGAGACATCCCGCCCCCACTCCCATTGTCTCCTCATGCTCTTAACCCTGGGAAACCATCTGTTCCAGGTGCCAGCAAATTCCCCAGAGAGGGGAGATCCTAGGAAGAACGAAGACTTTCTCAGTGGAGGAAAGAGGAAGGAAAGACTGGGGGAAGGTGGATGTAGAGCCTGGTGAGGGAGAACAGGCAGGAGAGGGGGTTCCGAGGTAGAAGATGGGCAGTGGAAGAGTGGGAGGTGACATAGGAGGAAAAGCAACTATTAACTTGGTGCAAAAGTAATTGCGGTTTTTTGGCCATTAAAAGTCATGTCAAAAACCGCAATTACTTTTACACCAACCTAATACATTCTCTGCCCTCCACGCCGCTGTTGGCGAGGTCTGAATTGAGTGGCTTGAGGGCCCCCCAGTGTCCATGGGTGTTGAGCTCCTTTTCCTACTTGAAATCAACTGAAAGCCACCGTGGCAATGTGTGGGAGTGGCAGGCAGAGCCCATTATGCGACATCTGGAGTGCCACATTGTAGTGACAGGTAGCTGAAGAGAGGCAGAAAGGTGAGGGACATCCCAGGTGGGTCCTGGGAGCTCACCAGACAGCGGCAGGTGGTGCAGGCGTCTGGGGAGAAGGTCTCCCCGTTGCCGTAGGTCTGGCCATTCTGGCTGCAGCCTGAGGAGACAGCAGTGTCACTCAAGCACCCCATGCCATCTGCAGGCCGTTAGGTGGCCCTGGTGGGCGGATAGGGTGGCACTTACCCCCACAATGGGGCAGGTGGGCTTGGGGGCCACAGTGAGCGGTCCCATCCTGGCAGACGCAGGCTGTGCAGGGGTCAGGCTCCCAGCGCGCCCCCTCGGGCCAGGCACGCCCCAGCCCCCAGCACTGGGGAGATGCAGGGTGACACTCACAGGACTCCAGCCGCCTCACCCTCATCTGCAGGTCCTTATTCTGGAGGAAGGAGATGGAATAGCAGGCACTGGCTCAGTGTCCCCACCATCTCCAGCAGAGATGAGGGGTGTGAAAATGAGGCAGGATGAGAAAGAAGTTTGCCAGTTCCAGAGCAGAGATGGGTCCCCCTCAGTCAGCATCCAGCTCAAACGATCACCGTTCTCAGGGGAGCATGAGCCCCATTCTCTTCTTTGGGCAAAATGGGGATCCAACCCTTGCCCCAAGAATTAAAGACATCTTTACCCATCCAAAATATTTCTTGATGATGCCTTATGCAGAGCACATTCCATGACATTTCCCAAATACATGGAACAGCATGAAACATGAACTGACAAAACAAATAGCCTGCAGGTTCTTCATTTGTATGAAAGAATAAATGTTAAGAACTGTTCAGGCCGGGCATGGTGGCTCACGCCTATAATCCCAGCATTTGGGGAGGTTGAGGCAGGCAGATCACCTGAGGCCAGGAGTTCGAGATCAGCCTGGCCAACATGGTGAAATCCTATCTCTACTAAAAATACAAAAATTAGCCGGCATGGTGGTGCACACTTGCAGTCCCAACTACTCAGGAGGCTGAAGCACAAAAATCACTAGAACCCAGGAGGCAGAAGTTGCAGGGAGCTGAGATCATGCCACTGCACTCCAGCCTGGGTGACAGATGGCGACTCCATCTCACAAAAAGAAAGAAAGAAAGAAAGAAAGAAAGAAAGAAAGAAAGAGAAAGAAAGAAAGAAAGAGAAAGAAAGAAAGAAAGAAAGAAAGAAAGAAAGAGAGAGAGAGAAAGAAAGAGAGAGAGAGAGAAAGGAAAGAAGGAAGGAAGGAAGGAAGGAAGGAAAGAGAAAAGAAAAGAAGGAAGGAAATTGTTCAGATAAGAGCCTTTCCTTTCCATGTGCAAGGAAAGAAAGCTCTATTTTGGGAACCCCCCTCCAAGGCGAACTTTTCCCTCCTTCCCATTATGAGAAGCCCTCCCCATTCAATGCACACCAGCCCTGTCTCCATGGTACCTGTTCTCTGAGCTCCACCACTGCAGCCTCCAGCCGCCCCAGCCACTCTCGCAGGGGGAGCCACTGCTCCTGGGGGTCCCCAGCAGGGGCTGAGGAGTGGACAGGTGTCTGCTGCCCAGGGGGCTCCTTGGGGACAGTCCCACCTGAAGGGCACAAGAATCCCATGTGGGCCTGAGGGTGAGGGGCTGGCCTGGCCACATTTCCTGGGTTCTGTCTTCTGACCCACAGGGGAAGGGGGTCATCCTGTGCACCCCGCTCTGTCCACTTGCCCGCCCACCATCCAGGGAAGGAGATGTGGTCTGTGAGGGTTGGGGAGTGAAAGCTGGAGGCGAGGGCATGGAAGAAGGGGAAGGAAGTTCTGAGTGGACAAATGTGGCCCAGACCAGCTTCTCCTGCTTGTCTGGGTGAGCCACAGGCCCCCCGACCCACCAGGGGACACAGAGCAGTCTCTGGAGCAGGGCTGTCCTGCAGCCTGCCCCGGCTGATGTCCGCAGCCATGGTGAGCATGTCAGGATCATCCCACCTCTCTTGGGCCAAGGGCTTGGCCAGGGATGGTTGGGAAGCTGACATGTCATGCTGGGAGGGCCTGGAAGCCAGCACAGGCTGAAACGCAGGGGAAGGCCACAGACATGCGCCAGGTGGAGCTGCTTTCAGGGGCCTGGGGTCTGGCTGGGAGTCTTTTCAGGGAGAACACGAGCAGCTCCCATCCCCTGACTCTGTCTACACCTGTCAGAAAAGCCATCACTTTTGGAGAAAGTGCTGAGGGAAGGACAACTGCTCCCCCTGCTCCTGCTCTCAACCCTGAGCACAGTTTTCCAGGCTTGTGACAGGGGGTCCTGGGGGCCCCCACATTGGGTGTGGTGGGCTCCAAAAGTGGGAACTTGGCTGCATTTCCTGAAGGGTTTGAGAAAGGTGCTGGCAAGGCCTCCACTAGCTTTTAACACAACAGATCCAGTGAAGGCAGCCTGTCCCTGATTCTACAAGACACTATGTCCAGGAAAGGGGGACAGGGCACCTCTGAGCTCTGGCCTGGGGTTGGGGATGGTCACTTTCACCTTTTCACTTTGATCCTTCTCCTGCAGCCAGGAAAGTAAAGGCAGGAGGGGAGGAGGCAGACATGGGTCCCTCCTCCAGGCAGGGATTGGCAGGGAAGTGGAGGGTCTGGAGCGGGATGCAACAGGAACAGAGAGAGGAGGAGGGAGAGGGCTGGGTCTTTCCCACCATGGCAGCTCATTAGTGAGGCCAGGCCTGGAGTGGCTTAAAAGGGTTTCTCACAGACACTAGGCCTGTGAGATAGGGGAACAATGTCACTCACTGTCACCATCAAAGGCGGAGGGGATTCTAGGTTAAAATTGAACTTGCTTTGCCCCAAGTTCCCTGGCTTGGTTAATGCCATCCCACTTACTCAGTTACTTAAGCCAGAAAGCTGGGGCTCAGCTCCCCTATTTTATTGTCTGAGTTGTCCCCTAATCCATCCCCCGCTTCTCCTCTCTCCACCTTCTCCATTCAGAAGGCAAAGCCCTGTCCCTGCCTCCATCTGCGTTCCTTCTCTCCACTCGACCTTTCTGAATCACACAGCTGAAGTCTCCCAGGAGTAAGTCCCGCTGGAACGGATCACAAGCACCGCCCACCTTTCCAGCCCCGCTACTGCCCGCTCATATCAGGGATTCTAACTCCGACCCCGCACCCTGGGCAGATGCTGGCCCCCAAACCCCAGGTACCCTTTCCCATCTCCATCCCTGTACTGGGCATCCTGTCACCCGGAATGGCACTCGGTCTCAGTCCTTCCCAAGCACACAGAGGGCAGCCACGAAGGGCGTGTCAGCATCTGAAACCTTCTACCCAATCTGGACTCCCGTGGGACCTCACCCTGCTGCCCAGGGCCCCTCCTCCCAGGCCCCTCTTCCAGTTCTGCTTAAGCAGGCAGGCAGAAGGAGTCCGGGAGAAGCTGGATCCTCTGGTACCCCTAGGTGAAGCTAGGGCCAGCCTTGCCTGGAGAGACCTGCAGAAAGAGCTCCGAGTGGCAAAAACCTGACTGGTCCCCAAGGAACTGTACCGGGCTCCCCTCTCAGCCTCCCCTGGCCCCCTGCCGGCACCGAGCCCTCCATTCCCGCTTGTCCCGCTCCAGGGAGGGCCAGACACAGACTCAAAGTCAGCTTCCACAGCGGGCCTGCTTTCTCCCCCTCCTTCGTCAAGACAAATAATTAACTTCAGACTCCCAGATGCCAGGGCAGCCGCGCTCTCTCCCGCCGCCGGCTGCAGGAACCCCCCGCTCCTGAACCCCCTGCTTTGGCCGCGGTCTTCCCAACCCTGCTCGCTCCCCCGACGGGGAGGACCGGGCTGGCCAGGGAGGCGTGTGAACTTCAGGCAGGGCTAAGAGAAGCAGCCCCCGGCCGGCCCCGCTCGGCCCCCTCAGGCCGGGCTGATAGGAGGCAGGGGGCGCACCTGGCCGGACCCCAGGTCTCCCGCGCCTGGACTCACCTCCCGCGCCCGCGCCCACGGCCAGCGCCAGGCCCCCGAGCTGCAGGAGAAGGGACAGCGCAGCGGCCCCGGCCCCGGCCATGCTAGCTCCGCCTCGCTTGCAGTCGTCTGTCGTCGCGGCTCAGCAGGCGCTGGGGGAGGCGGGGTGGGGACACACAGGCCGCTCCCACCCAGGCTTTGTTCAGGGAGGGCTCAAACCCCCACCGCGCGCGCTTTTCCCATGGATACCTCCACCCTCCCCGGCCCCGGCCGGTCCTGACCCCAGAGAGCAGCTCCAGCTCGCAGGAAGCCCAACGTGGGTACAGGCCCTGTCTCCGCTTAAGATCCAAGAGGAGACTCCGAAAAGAAAATAAACCCAAGTCCACCCCTCTGGGGCTCCTGGACAGTCTCCTTGCCCCTTTAAGTTACTCCATCGCCCGGAGTTTCCAGATGGATTTTTCCTCTCTCTCACAAGTTTACAGAAGAAGCAGACTGAGCTGGGTTTAAATCCCTGCTCAGCCAATTCCACGTGGCTTTCGACCACCAACTTCTCTGCACCTCAATTTCCCTATCTGTAAACTGGGGATCACCACATCTACTTTATAGACTTGAGTAAGCATTAAGTGAGATTATATAAGAACTTAGAGTTGGTAGACACATGGTAAATGCTCAGTAAATAACAAATAATAACAATAAGTAGTCCTCATCTCTGAAATCATGGACGTGACCAGTGTATTCCTCTCTCCACCTATAAGTTTCTTCCCTGGACTCCATTCAACACCCCTTCCCACTCCAGTAGTCTCAGGCTTGGCCCCAAATGCCAAGGCCACCCTTCACTGGCTGGTCTCAGCCCCATTCCCACGCCTGAGCTCAGGCCTGGCTGTGGGGTGAGCCTGGGTAGGGGGCAGGGCTGGGCCCTGGGCTCAGCAGGCGGAGGGGGCCAAAGGGAGGAAGTGAGGACAGCCGTCCCTGTGGGCCCACAGGGCTGGGAAACTCCTCCTTGCAGCTGGGAAGCAGAGGGTTGGGTCTCGCAGGCGAAGCTCACAGGCAAAAAGGGACATTGAGGGCGGAGCTGTGAACCCTTCCAAAGCTCTCCCTCCCTGCCATAAAGACCAGAAGTCAGAAGCTACCCCTCCCCCTAGCCCAGGAAGGGACTGAGGTCTCCCCAGCCCACTCTCCACAGAGCTTAAAGCTTCAGTAAGGAGAGGGCAGCTTCTCTGCCCCAGGGTCTGGGCCCCTAGTGGGCCTGAGCCTTTGCCACAGGCGGCGGGGAGGCTGTAACGCCACTGTAAGACCTGGCCTCAGTGCCTGGATCTGGGGTCACAGAGGAAAGCCAGGGCCAGCCAGCCAGAAGAGGAACAAGGAAGCGGCAGCGCTATTCCTGGCAGGTTTAAGGAAAGTGGCTTTGTTGACTGGGTGCCTCTGGAAGGCAAGTCCTGCAGGGGGCTAGGTAGTGGGACGGTTCAGAGCACAGACTCCGGCAGGGTTGCCACGGCACATCCTGGAGCTCACGCTTTCTGCTCTGGGGCCTCTGGCAGGTCACTTCACTTTTGGTGGCTGATTTTTCTGAGCTGTGACTGGAGCTCTAACAGCACCCACTTCATGGAGTGTTTGTAAGGGTTAGTACCGCATGGTGCCTGGCACAGAGGTATGAGCACTTATTACTTCCCTTATGAAGAATGGGGGCACCTCCATCCCCATTTTACAGAAAGGAATCAGGGAGAATCAGGGTGAGCAGCTCTAAACCACACTGGGAAGATGTACAGGGCTTCCCTGGCCCCACAGCCCCCTTCCAGTCCCTCATGTCCCAGCCTCTGCCCCTGAGCCTGGCCCCAGTCTGCCCTCATGTCACATTCCCGGGGAGGGACACTGTCCTGACACAGACAAGGTCCTCCAACCCCAGGGGCACAGTGGGGTGAGGAGGCTGTGACTTTACTTCACCCCCAAGGCAGGTGTTTGTAGTGTCTGATTCTGTGCGTGTGTCTGGGTGTGGCACGTGTGTGTGTGTGTGTGTGTGTGTAATGTGTGTTTGGCTGGAGGTGGGGGCTGAGGCTGGGGAGGCACTTTTTTGGCATTCAAGGGACCTTGACTTTGAAGGGGCTTCCAGGAACACTTTCGTCACCCCACTTGACGATGAGGATGTAGCCCCCTTTCTCCTTGACAGTATAGGTGACATTGTATACCCGGTTCCCCATGTGTTTCAGGTACACCTCCTCACAGGGGGTCTTGGGGCCGTGCATGCCCACCATCATCATGTTGGTACCTGGAGAGGGAGGCAGAGGGACGGGCTCACACCAGGGAGTCCCCTACTGTGACCCATACCCTGCTCCCTGATGGCCTCTTGCTCACCCCCCCGCCACCTGCCTGCTTTGCTGCAGTCCACGGTGAAGGAGTTCTTCTGGCCCACGAAGGCCTGGGACAGCCCAGGGCCCCGAGTCACCACCTTGCTGGCATCCGAGAACTTGGGGATGGAGCTGTAGCTGGAGCCCCGGCTTGAGGAAGACTTGGTCACAGTCTCCACCAGAACGGTGGATGTTTCGTGAAGGCTGTGGCCTCCGGACAGCCTCGGACCTGAGGGGCGGGTGGAGGGGGCACAAACCTGGTCAGGAGGGCTTCCTGTTCTTCCCCAGGCAGGGGACCCTCGGCCAGCACTGCCACCCTGTGGGACTCACTGCCTGCATTCGCGGCTCCCCCCAAATTCCTCCAAGGGCCACTCTAGGAGCACAGCCCCATTTCCCAGTCAGGGCCCTGAGCTGCCAGCTCCAACTGGTGCTCCACCCCAGGGCTGGGGCCTCAGATGCTGTGACCCTCACCCTTGCAGGCTTTGGGAACTCTGGCTAACTCACAGGGTTAGAGTCACTTTACAAAGGAACACCCACCCAACGCATCCTACAGACAGCCTCAAGAGGGGAGCTTGCTCAATACTGACTGTGTCTTCTTGGAGCCGAGGAATATGGGAAGCCAGGAGGGAAGAAAGTGATGCTAGAGCCTGAGGAGCCAGCGCAGGCCAGAGCTGAAGGAGTGAGGGGCCGCGATGGAGGGGAAGAATGGGACTTTTACACCATCATGCCTGACTCCACAGAATGTGTGCTGTGTAGAGCCAGGCCCACCTCTAGCCCTGGTAAACTAACCATGGTGTCTGGGGTCAGACTATGGTCTGGATGTGCGTGGCCACTGGAGCCCTCCAGGCTGGGGTGGGCTGCAGGTTGGATGGGCCTCCCTGAAGCCAGCACTTACTGGTGACCTTGGCCTTGAAGGGGCTGCCCACGATGTGCTGGGGGCCACCATACTTGATGGCAATGAGGTAGTTGCCAGGGGCCATGGGAGTGTAAGTGACCACGTGGCCCTCAGGACACTCCCGACAGTCCAGCTGCACCTTGGAGGGGCCATCAATGGTGACAGACAAGGCCCCCGAGCCGGCGTTCAGGGTGTTCACGATGAACTCTGATGACACACCTAGAGGCCAGAGGTAGCAAGGCTGAGGGCAGGAAGGGCTTGTGGCCCAAGAGGGGCTGGGCTCCAGTTCCCTCGGCAGCCTCTGTGGGAAGCTGCCACCTCCCCATGCCCAGCCTCGCCCCTGCCTGCCAGCCCAGCCTGGAGACAGGAGGAACCAGGGTCCAGTGTGCAATCCTCGGTGCATACCTGCTCTGAGGGGCACTAGCCTAGCTGTGCTGGGTACCAGGAAAATGAGAGATGATGTGCACTGTCCTGACTGAGGAAGGCAGAGCCCCACACTGTGTGAAGCAGGCTGAGAGCAGAAGGCAAGTGCCTGATGGGCTGTGTCAGCTGTGGGTGCATGAGCACTCAAATGTGGGAAGCTGAGTGTGGCTGGACTAACCTGGGAGGGCTTTGGGGAGGAGGTGGGTCAACAGGGAGGACTGGAGGGGCTCCAGGGAAAAAGGAGATAAACTTGTTGGGAGAGCCCCAGATCTGGAATATGAGGAGGGGAGGCACAAGTGCTCCTGATGGGCTGGTAAAATCTCACAGCCAACCCCAGGGCCCCAGTGGAGTCCCAGGAGACAGTCCCGTCACTCCAGGAGCTGCAAGGCTTGGGTAGCAGGGGGCCACTAGGGGAGGAAGTGCCACAGCAGTCTTAGTAAGAGTAGCCAGACAGCAGGTGCCCTGCTGTGTCCAGGGTTGGTCTGGGTCACATGTCTCCTTGCAAACCCACACCCAGCTCAGGCAGAGGACAAAGGTTTCACTGCATTGGGCCTGATCCTAAATCCCACCCCTCCGGGTGAGCTGCCCACACCCCCGGCCCTGCCGCCTGCCTGGTCCAGACAGGCTGAGGCTCTGGGGCAACAGGTGCCCAGGAAGAAGTTTCTTTCAGCTTCCTCCCAGGGGCAGGGTGGGGGAAGACCAGGGTACAGAGGGAAAACCCCGAAGCAGGGCCTTTAGGTAAAAAGGGGTGATTACCCAGTGCCTCCCTAAACTCTTGGAGCCCCTCAGCCCCAGCCCCAGGCCCCACAGCTACGGGGTAGGGGGAGGGTGGAGGCAGGGGGAGGGGAGATCTTGCCAGTTTTTTTCATGGACACAGCCGGTGCACTTTCGGGCCCTGGTGACGGGGTCCGCGGAGGCCCAGGCCCACCCCAGTCCTCTGCCCCTGCTCCCCACTTCCCCTCCGCTCCTCTTCCCCCCTTCCCTCTGCCCCCACACCTCTCGCTGGCTCCCCTGGGGCACACCCCTTGGGCCAGCCCCGCGGAGCCACCCCCACCCCCAGGGATGGCCTCTGGACCATTCCTCTTGCTGCTGGAGGAGCAGCACCTCGGTCCTCACCCTGCTGTGCCCAGCGTGGCTGCGAGGCTGGGAAAGTCCCCCACTCCCGCCTCTGCTCCCGGGTACCCGCTCCGCCCCTCCCAGGTCCGGAGACAACTGCGCGAGGCCAGCGCTGGTCCTCGCCATCTCCCCCAGCATCGCGGCCACACTAGTCTCACTTTTCCTCCACGTTTAGCCTCTTCATTGTTGTCTTCTTAAGTTCTGGGACAGGACCTACAGAAATCAGCCCAGGAACTATTGTGCCCCATCCTTCTCCGCTGCTTGGGGGGCCGACGTCTACCATTCCCGGCCGCGAGCCCAGGGACAGATGGAGCCTCTACCTGACACCGTCTTCCCGCAAACTCTTGCACAGTTCCTGCCATTGATCTGAAGATCCCGGGGGGATGAAAGCTTTAAACCTCAACCTTTTTTTTTTCCGAAAGGGTGAGGGTGGCCCGGTAAGAGCGAGGGTGAGTGCATCGAAAGTAAGGATCGGGCCTCGCTCCTCAGTGGCCCAAGCCAGTGGCCCTGGGCCTTAGGGCTCGTCGGGAGCCAGCACCCCAAACTGTTGGGGCGTGAGGGGAGCCTGGGAAGTCCCAGGTCGGCGGGGCGCACCCTGCTGTAGGCACCCACCCGAGCTCGGTCTCCAGGCACAGCTGGACGCGGAACCCGCCGTACTCCAGTCTTCATCCCTCCGCCCGCAGGTGCCTGAGGGGCGCGGTCCCTGGTGGAGCCCTAGACTTGGGGATAGGCAGCAGCGGGTACCGCTCCCCCTACCTTCCGGGCACACCAGACGGGGACGCGGAGAGGAGCGCGCGGCTGAGGGTACCCACCTGTCTGCGGTGCGCTTGCTTGCGTGGCTGCGCCCTGGAGCACCGGTCCGGACGGCGGGGCAAAGCTGGCTCTGCCCGGACTGCGCTGGGTTCTTCTGCATCGCGCAGGTCCCGCCCGGGGAGACCACCCAAGGCAGCCGGACTTACCGGCGGTGACTAGGTACCTGGACTGAGCACTCGGCCAGACAGCGCGGTGGCCTAGACGACCACTGGGCTCCTTCGGCAGTCTGGAACAGGGAAATAGTAATTCCTCAACCCCAAATTCCCCCCGCGCCCCGCCCCCTGATTCCTCCCAGCTCTGAAGGGTCCTCAGGTCTTCCCTAGCCCACGCTCTCGGTGGGACTGGCACCTGAAAGAGATGGTTTCCCGGGTCAAGAGCGTTAGGATGCCAGGTGGTGGCTTGCGCCTGTAATCCCAGGGCTTCAGAAAGACCAGGCAAGAGGATCGCTTGAGTCCAGAAGCTGGCCAGCATGGGCAACATAAGGAGACCCAGTCTCTACAAAGTAATAAAAAGAAATTAGCGGGGCATGATGGTGAGCGCCTGTAGTCCCAAGGTACTCTGGAGGCTGAGGCGGGAGGATCACTTGAGATGGGGAGGTGGAGACTGCAGTCAGCCATGATGAAGCCACTGTATTCTAGGCTGGGCAATACATTACGAACCTGTCTCAAACAAAACAAAACAAAACAAAAAATCAAGAGAGACTCGGGTTGGGGCAGGATGTCTCTTTTCTGTTTTCACACAGAGGGTAGCCCACACCCTCAGAGCCAACTCATCCTGCTGCCCCTCTGACATGTCCCAGCCTTGGCTGAGGCCCTGCCCTCTGGGGTTCTGAGGCCTGTGCAGCCACCTCAGTCTGCTCCCACAGGAAGGGACCATCACCTGCACCCCGAAGCCATGCCCAAAAGGACCCTGCTCTAAGCCAGGAGCATGCTGCCCACACTGTGAGCCAGGTCAGCCATGTGCCAGCCTCAACACCACCTCCTGCATGCCTTCTGTGGCCCACAGCCACAGCCTGCCACCTGAGGGTCAACGAGTCTGGGACATGCCCAGGGGTGCCTGTCCTCTCACTCTGACAGTGGCCAGGGGAGTACAGAACCCATGCACAAGTCAGCAAATACTGGCTCTGGCCTGGGACTGAGCCAGAGACCATAGGAAAACAGGCACAAAATCTTTTTCCTGCCCTCAGGGAGCCTCCAATCTAGTTGAGAAGATAAGCTCATAGCCAAGCTACCACAAGATGTAAGAACCATTGGGCAAATTAAGAGGAGGTGTGGAAGACTGCAGTGTGTGCTTTGCCAGAGGAGGGCACAGGAGGCAGCAGAAGCCCGTCCAGGCTGGGCAGTCAGGGGACCTTTCCAGACAATGGGTCTTTTGAGCTGGGTCTTCATGGGAGAGTGGGTTTCCACCTGAAGGAGAGGGAGTATGTGAGGGTCCTCCGTGCACAAGGACAGGGTGGAGAGAGGTGGGTTGCAGGAGGCCATGTGGGAAGGCCATGGGAACAGGCTGCTGGAAGCCTTGCAATTAGGACTTTCTTCTATAGGCAGTGGGGGGCATTGAAGGCTGAAGCAGCGTGTGGCATGGTCAAGGGGGCGCTTGAGGAATATTCACCTGGTGGGGGCTGGATGCAGACAGAGGCATCGGGGCTGTGACAGCAGTTGTCTAGGCATGGAGCCAGGGGTCCAGTGGGCTGGAGAAAGGGGGGTGTTTCTAAAGGACGGGCAGGAGTCTGTGACTGGCTGGGTCCCCTGGAATAGTGGAGGCTGAGTTTGGGACACTAGGATAGCAGTGGTGCCGGGGATGTGAAGAGAGCTGGGAGGAAGAGGAGGTCATGGCTACGCAGGGGGGTGTTACTGGTTTACAGGGGAATAGTGTTGCCAGATTTCACAAATAAAAATGCAGAACGTCCTGTTAAATTTGAATTTCAAATAAACAGCACAATTTTTTAACATAAGCTCAGAGTCACAGTGGGAATAAGCTGTAGAGAATGGAATCAATTTGAGGTCCTTAGGATCCTGGGGGCTGGCCAGGCCTGTCCACACTGACCTCCAGCCAAGTAGCGTGGACCTATCCTTGGCACGACCTACTAGGCCTTCTCCCTGGAAAAGTTATTGTCATGAGACGTCCAAGCCTCCTCGCCCTCCCTGGTCACTGTGACTCTCAGCTGCTTCCTGCCCAGCTCACCCCCTGCTCTGCCCAGTCCCACACCCCAGCACCCCCACCTGCCCTCTTCATGCCTCTATCAGAGCCCCTGAGTGTTGCTGGACAGCATCTCATCACTCCACTGCTTCCATTAAGATTCGTGGCCACAAACCTCAATGAGCACCGGACGCTGCCAGAAATCCTCCTACAATCTCTTGGCAAATCATTCTCCCCGTCCCTGAGAGGAGCATTTTTTTTTTTTTTTTTAACTTCCAGTGGTTCTGCCCCTTACTTGCCATGTGATCTTGGCAAGTTATTGAACCTCAGTCTCAGGTCCTCCCCTATGAAACGGGGGTAATAAGAGCACCTCTGTCATTGCTCTCGTTAAGGATTGTCTTAGGCTGGGCACGGTGGCTCCCGCCTATAATCCCAGCACTTTGGGAGGCTGAGGTGGGTGGATCACCTGAGGTCAGGAGTTCGAGACCAGCCTGGCCAACATGGTGAAACTCCATCTCTACTAAAAATACAAACATTAGCTGGGTGTGGTGGCGCCTGTAATCCCAGTTACTCAGGAGACTGAGGCAGGAGAATCACTTGAACCTGGGAAGTAGAGGTTGCAGTGAGCCGAGATCCGTGCCACTGCACTCCAGCCTGGGTGGCAGAGCAAGACTGTCTCAAAAACAAAATAAAACAAACAACAACAAACAGACAAACAAAAAACGATTGTCTTAGCCTGAGTTCCTGGAAATCAGAGCCTGAGATA